TGCGACTTGCATGGCATGCGTGACATGTTACATCACAACACCTTAGATGTGAAAGATGCGACTTGCAGGCATGAAGCGACATGGTTTACATCACACACCTTAGATGTGAAGATGCGACTTGCATGGCATGACGCGACATGGCTTACATCGCACACCTTGGATGTGAAGATGCGACTTGCATGGCATGACGCGACATGGCTTACATCGCACACCTTGGATGTGAAGATGCGACTTGCATGGCATGACGCGACATGGTTTACATCACACACCTTGGATGTGAAGATGCGACTTGCATGGCATGACGCGACATGGTTTACATCACACACCTTAGATGTGAAGATGCGTTAATTTTTTATTTGTGTTTCGGGTCTGTGCTGCGGATCTAGTTTTTGAGCACTGATAGGTCCTGGTGCAGCAACGTGCTCCGCAGATGGGTTTGGAACGTTTGGGTCCCGGTGGACATCGCCTGGTTTTGGCGTCTTGGATTGTCTTGGTCGGTGAGATCTATTTCTTTTTGGGTATCGTCCAAGATGAATAAACAACTCCGGATAAATGATGGATAAGTAACAAGAAGGACAATTTTGTGGGTCCACTGGTAGTTCCATGTTTCAGCCATGCACATCGTTGTAGCTGAAAACATACCTACATGAAAGCCCGGCCGTATAAGCCTCGAAGATTGTTTCCATTGGTTCCGGGAATGGAAATGGCAAATTTGGGACTTGCATAGTTAATAGTTTTTGGCAGTTGAAGATGTTTTCCCAGTTCACACTTGAGATCGTGAATGCACAACATGAATTTCCACATGCCATGGACCCAAGATTTTCCCATGGGGATGGCCATAGTTTCATGGGAAAATCATGAAGGTTCACGCGTTTCACTTGTTAAATGCCAAGATATGACCCATCAGACCAGATGACCAGTGATCAATCCACATTCGATGGACATGTGTTGAACGGGGATTATCATGACCAGCCTGTTTGAATGGTACTCATATCCATCAGCCATTGTGGGAAGGGATCCCCCAAATACGGAGGATTGTTTGTACAAGTCATTCCAGGATGTTTCACCTAATTCATGATGATTTACCCACACATTTTCCGGGTGTCCAGTGGTTCAAGGCTTATTGTGGGGTGGCCTATAGTCAGCTGCTGATGTGTTTCAGAGCAAATAATTCATGAGACTTGTCCCCATTCAGCCAACCATAAAATTCGCTGTTTTAAATCAGTTCAACGAGCTTACAAAACAACTTAAATCTTGGGGGCCTTACTATGTGGACAAATTCAAATTCCACAGCTCCGTCAGGAATGGAGTGAACCTATTCCAGCGGCCTACTCCTACGGCTACCTCTGGGCCGCACATACGCTCTTCTACTGGCATCGAGATCAAGCGATGGTGCGGAGCATTTTTTTGGAGCCTGTTCTCGTTTGCTGTTCTTCTCGCGTATGCTGCGTATACTGAATATCTAACTATATCTAATTATATAATGTACAATTGAAAAAGAATGTAATTACAGTATGTTGAGCTATGTTGGCGTTCTGGGGATGCTTTTTGCCTTAGAACTGTTGTGCTTCGATTTCCATGGACATGCAAATGTAGTTGGAGGATCCGCTATGCTCATTTTGTGACAGGCCCATGTTGTGATTGAAACTGCGAAAGGTGTGTTTTTCGATCCCCACCCAAGTGATTTTGCAAATCAAAATTGACAAATCTGCTGGGTAATTTTGCCAGAGATACATTCCGTTGTGTTTCAGTCGCAGACCTCCCAAAACTCTCAGCCGAGCCAATTCCTACACCTGGTATCACCTGGTCGTCTTCTACTTTTCCAACTGTCGCCCAACCAACCCGTGGCAACACCCATTCCATGCGGATGAAGGCGAAATAATTTAATGGAGACCTGCAAGTTGGGAGTCAAAACACCTTGGTTTCCAGCAACATCCCGAAATCACCCCAAGTAAAGAAGTGTGGATGGCTTTAAACTACCAAATTTGGGGGAGATGATCCACATTGATCCACCAATGGATGTTTTTTGACCGTGTGTTCATGTCCAGGTGGAGCAGGAAATTTGGGACCTGTGCTTTCGCACCATCAACGACCCTGTGGAATTGGGACTCACCGGTGGTGGTGGCCCCTGGGCTCGTTGGATGCAACTTGGCTGAGTTGACCTGGAAAATGAGCTATGCTATAGTCACTAGTTGCAATATGTTGCTGTTATATATGTCATCATATGTCAAGTATATTTGCTGCAATGGAGACTCTCAGAGGGTATGATTTGCGATCTAAATATGGACATCCTGAGAGATTTTGGTACTTGTTTTTGGAAAGAACATAAATATTCGTTTGGGGCTCATGACGGCACCAAAATTGGATCAACATTCAAATTGACATCATCAGATATCTTTTCTTTTTGGAAAGGAGATAGCCAGGAAGCAAAAAAAGAGAGAGTCCGAAAAGATGCAATGGTTTAAGGTTGTGTATGTGTTTGTGGTGTTTTCTGTTCTGCGTAATCCTGGGTACTGTATTGGTTCTTGTTGGCTTTTCTACTGGGCCTACCCAGATTTTAAAGACGCAAATCACTTTCTTGCAGGGTACCCAGCACAACTTTTTCCCCCAAGTTTTTGTTGGTTGAATTTTCTTGAAACGAATGTTCAGCATGATCATCATGGCCCATCTTTCTGCTTGTAACGAAAGCTCCGAGGCAATCGATGGCTCAATGGGTCCTTTCCAACCGCCTGTGGCATTTCAAGCTGTCGGAGTGCTTAGGGCCCCCGGCAGAGCCCAAGCGAGGCGCGGTGCACGAAGATGGAAGGTTCGATGTGAAAACATTGTGGGCCTTATCAAAAACAAGAACAAAACATAGAAAAAACATGTTGTTTTGACATATTTGACATGTTTGGACCCTGGAAACCGAGGCAGATAGATGATAGATGAAAAACACCCAAAAATAGAGAGAAGAAAGCACTGCGGAGGATATTCAAAGTGATTTTCATTTAGCGTGACTCACTGCAGGAGAAGCTGCGGAGGAAGCCATCGTGATGTGAATGCTGGTGAAACAACGAAACCCACCGCATGTTTTTCCATTTGAACTGTGCGGTGGCTATTTAAGATGTTTAAGGGCCAGTGACCCCACTTGAACACGGGTGAATCTCGGATTGACAAGTCCGGTCACAATGGTCAACTCATGAGATTTGAAAAAAGTGTGGAATAGACATGGAAGAGTTCCCAAACGAAAGGCTTCAAGCAGAAACATGGCTCCATAATTGGCGGTGTTCCAAAGCTGGTTTGGTCTGGATTTACCATCAGGTCGTTCCCAAAATGACAGACCAAGAAGAGTTCCATAGGAAAAATACGCAGCCTGTACAGAATTCGTTCGACACCAGAACGAAATGCTGCAGTGTAGGCCACGGGAACACAAGCACCGTGGATGGCAGCAGCATCACAGTTGTTGAAATTGCATACCAACATGGGTACTCCAATCCCCCCAACATTCAACACTCCCTGCAGAAACCATTTAGTAACATGGCCCAATGAATTGGATCTAGTTCGATTATCTTTCAGCCCTTGGTCCCTGAATTTCAACGTGATTTTTCACGCGTTTGGGGTAGCATTTGGTGGCCCCTGAAAGGGTTCATCAGTGTTGATCAGTGAAGCAACAGATGCTGATGTCGACAGATAGCTTTCAAGTTGGCCAGGCACACCACTGCCAAGGTGTGGTGTGGCAGGTACATCAAATGCATAGCGAAATGCGCGGCCAGTTCTGAAAGTTGCAGATGACAGCCACCAAGTCGAGTGCTGATGCGACCAGTCCTCCAGGCGATCGGCCACGAAATTACCGCATTCGATGCTGAAACCAACAGGTTTGATTGAAAGCACCAATCCTTTAGGTGCGTGGTGGTGTGATGTCTGTGATGTCCTTTTTCTGTCGCCAATTTTTGGCTCAGAGTTGACATGGACAGCTGGTCCTAGTCACAGTTTAGGAGAATCTTCCGGTAGTTGCATGGTCTATCCCGGAAATGATATGTGCCGCTGATGGTTATCAATATTCATCAATCCATATCCCATAACTTACAACATTAAATTAAGATTAAAAAGATAGAACAATACCAGTCTCTCACTATATTCTTCTTGGGGATCACCCAAAATCGGTATATGAAAAAGCATGGCATGGCGGTCAGTGTCAGGACCTGAGGCTGGCTTGACCGGCTACCTGGTAGAAGTTGGGGATTTTTCAGCATCAAAAACGGCTGGAACACGGCTGGGCCCTGGGCCGTGGGGATTTCACAAGCGCAGAGGCCTAATATGGCTTGCTTAGGATGGTTGATTCATCTGATTCACAATAGCCAAGTCGGTGTACATATAACAAGTATGATAGAAGTTATGATGTATTTTATGTATTGCACTGTAGGGTTTATGGCATGTCGAACTAGTTTGGAGATTCTAAACCAACACAACAAAGGCACCACATCGCGATGGTTGATATCCATGGGTCATCATGGGTCATGGGTCCACCGCAGGTGGTGTGGTTGCACGATGGATCAATGGATCCATCCTTTGTTGTCCTGTTCGAGGCGATGTTGTGAAGCCACATCTTTCCACACTCGCCATTCGTCGCATTGCGGTGCGATTTTTGCAGATGTTGTATCAATATGCATCAGAATGTTATTTTTTAATGATTATACTGATTATACTGTGATATATACGCGATGTTTGCATGTTCCCCAGAACATCTGGAAGTTGAGGAGTCCACCCTGGCGCTTCTGGTGGCACAGCCTGAAAGCTGCTTCTAGCAGCTCCCTCTGTCGAGGTCGAGTCATCCCCATGAAGTGCTGAAGATTCTGCAGATTCCCATGCCGATTCATAAAAGGAAGCTGTGGAAGCTATAAAAAAAACACTATTGGCCCAGTTTTTGAGGGATGAAATCCCCGATGATTATCCCCAATATATATATATATATGGTAGTAGAAGATAGTAGAAGTTATAATCCCCGAACATATCACCAGCCAACAGAGCTTTTGAACACTGCGCAAATGAAACATGAAATGCGTAACAGAAAGCCCAAAGATTCTCAAAGATGCGTATTCCCATGTTTGGTTTCTGAAATATTGGATGACTTTTGGAGATTGCACACTCAAATCTACCCTTACAGTCCGTCGAAATGAATGTTTACTTCTGATAGTGGGTTTGTTGCAGTTGCAGATAAGTGACGCCCCTCAAGTTTCGAGATGTACTCAGAGACGCATAGACCCCTCCTTGACTGGATATGTTGCTCTATTTGCCGCGTTCATGGCACTATTTCTGAGCCAATCTAGGTGTTTGTTCCATCAGTTTTGTATTGGACTTAAGTGCCATTTCACCTTGGTTTACCACTGTTGGCATCATTTTCCACTATCTGCTTTCGTAGTATAAAAACACATTATAACTTATGAAACACGGTCATTTATCTACAGTTGTTTCTACATAGCAATTGGGAGTCCCAAGCGTTGGATTTTTTTGGAACAACGTCACTGGATCGTGGGGCAGGCTCTGATCTCAATGCCACGGTGTCTGGTCGTTGAGCGAGCCATGTTGGAGATGGAAGATGACGAAGCGGGCACCTCAAATGTTGTAAATGTTGTGTTGGTTTATAACCCATAAACCCATATGGGGAATATATCGATAGTGGCTTTATGGGGGATATATCAGCCAGATGGAAGACAACCCCATCTAAGTCTAGATCATATAGATTCTATAGATATATCATGATATATCCCCCATAAAGCCACTAGTTATAAACCAACTTAGCTATCTTGGGGGCCCACCATGCATGGATTCCATGTATTTAAACTATCATGGGATAAAAGGTGGGATATCATGGAAACTGAGCAGTACAAGTAGTGGCTGCAAGACACCCCCGTTGGTTGATGGTGTTGATGATTCGTTTGAGTGGTATACTCGCGGATATTGGGAACTATTACCTATTATAGTCCATGAACTGGGAATACCCATTTACCAACCAGTACAATGGCTTGACCTCAAGACCATTTGGTTTTCTCTGAAAATGTTGGCACACCCGCTAAATCCATTGATCAGTCATCATTGTTCGTATTATCATGGCCGTTTGTTGTTATGCCACCCACATGTTCAGACAAAACCATATCACTCATATGACAATGGATTCACCTACCAGTGGTACCAACTCTGCTGTTGAGATTGGAGTTGTCGTGTCAGATGATGTCACATGTTTACAGAAGCTTCACATGTTTTCCTGTTTTTCGATCATAGTCAGGCGATTGCTTTCCACTATGCCATGGACTTCGTTCGGATCTTTCTGCCGCAAGTCTCCTACATTTTCCAGCACCAGGCAGTCTTCTTCGCACCTGGGTTCGGTAAACCTGGGGCATGTTAGCAAGGTGGTTGGTCATGTCAGACTGGGTACCTCAGAATGGGATTGTGTTGTCAACAAAGATCAGAGAAACGCCATCCCAACTTGAGGACTGATTTTGAGGATTTGAAGGTGATGTCATGTGATGTCACTTCTTATTTGATCGACCAAAATGAGGATTTGAAGTGGCATCGCCGGCTAGAAATTATTTACTCCTAGAATGACCATCAATGACCATCAAATTGTGTTTCCAAGAGCCTTGAAGTCGTGAAGATCTAGAGTGTGTTCAATCATCAAAAATATCACCAATTGATCATCATATACCATCCAGCAAAATAGCTCTGGAAAATCCATGGGTTTTCCTGTTTGGACATCAACAAATGGTGGATTCTCCATAGGCGGTTAGTTTCCTGGAGGGTATCCAATCAGTTGATCAAGCCTCGAGGTACTTTGCGAGAAGCTGGATGCCTTGTCCGCTGGCAACTGGGAGCAGCTGGGGCAGCAGCTTTGGGAAATGTTTGTCTCAAGAAAAACAGGGTGAGCCACACATGGTTCATATGTTTCTCCTTTTTATGTGAGATATTGGGAGATAAACAGCCAGAAGATTTGTGGGTGGTAACGAGCTACAGCCGGCTATGATATGACTCACAATGCTGGATGGAACCAACGGATTTCATGGGGATGTAATGAGACTTATTGGGGTTGGACCAATGATAGAACCATGAGATGGAATGGGGCGAATGGGGTTCAAAAAATTGAAACAAGCCCATGTGATGGCGTGATGCTTGTGGCAAACCCAAACTCAAAACCAGCCGGGCCAAAAAGGAGATGCAAAAGTTGCAAGGCTACTTAAGTGTCTGGCGACGTTGATAAACTTGGAGAACCCATTATTGATATTATCGGAAGTAAGGAATTCAAAGCTCCCTGGGCGGCGCTGCAAGATATCAGGAGGAAGTGTCCGTTTGGAAGTCTCATGTGTGTCGGCAGGCAGGGTGTGCCGATCCCTCACTTTGCTGAAGAGGCTGGCATGACTTTCAGCTGTGCTTCCAGTCCACGTGCCTGAAATCATGGGGCCACGTCTGGTCCAACGGACTCAATGGCCAGGTGGCCAAACTCGCCACACCACAAATTGCACTGGTTAGATTCGGTTAGGTGTGATTCCACAGGACACGGATGGTACATGATATTACATCATGGTACCCTCCAATCCCATTTGTTTCAAAGCAGCTAAGCCACTGATCTGGGAAGCCATCCATCATTCTCCAAGAACTCAACTTGGAAATCTTGAGGCTCAATGTAATCGTCCATTTTGTTGGTGTCAAGTCATTTTCAGCCATATTATTCAAATAAATCACTATAATCATCCCCCATTGCACTGATAGTTTTGGTGACTTACGTTCATCCCATCATTGAAAGACCCCCATCATTATCATTAGGCCATTGAATCCGAGTGGAAAAAAATACATGCGTAATATTCCCCAGAAGTCATGCAGTGGATGATGATTTTATTCTCCGTCATTATCCATCAAAAGTTTGCCCTTACGCACAGATTTCAATTATAACTTGCAATTAAGAAAAAAAACACAGTTGATTTTCCGCAAGTGTCCATTCGTGTGTTGCCATTGTAAAAACAGGAAACATGATATGATACACATGTTTGTGTATATATATATAATAGCTCCAAAATCACGATGCCCCAATTATCCATACTTATCCATAAATCATAAGTATCCAGTATACATAATAAATAGTGACCATTCAGATTCTGGCAGTTGTCGATATCACAGGTGAAGCATCTCAGCAGCACATCTCTGGGTACTCAGCTTCCCTGCCTCTTCGGCTGGGTAGCAGCCTTGCTCTGCGAGCTGCGGGTGCAGCAGGTGGGGAAGATTCACTAAAATCAGTGGATATTAACCGGTTTAACCAACGAAAACTAGGAAAGACTGGAAAAGACTGGGAAAAAATAGGGAAAGGGGGATGCTGGGACATCCCGAGGTTAATGGTTGGTTGTTATGGTTTTTATGTTTATGTTCAATGTTTCTTCCCTACCTTTGATGTTTTTTCAGGTGGGGTTTCTGGGGCTATTTTCTTCTTAAGTGTTCATCGTTTCCTGTTTCATTATTTTTGTTTTTTTGTTTGTTCATTGTTCGGTTGTTATGTTTTTGTTTAGGTTTGCGTGTTGAATTGTTGTGGTTGTTATGTTTTTATCTTCATGTTCAATGTTTGTTCGTTGGTTTCAATGATTTTCTGGGAATTGTTAGGGGTGGTTTAGTGTTTTAATTTTCACTCCAATCGTTTGGTTTGAGTGAGGTGATGATTTCTTGTTGTTTTTGGAGCTTTGGATGGATGTAGCTAGTGCAATTGCGATTTGATGAGGCTTTGTTCATCATGAAAGCAAACAGGCTCAAGCATGGTGAAGCACCTATTCCCAAGCGGACAGTGCAATGCCATTGTCCGAGCCGATGAAAGCGGCCATCGTGATGGCTATCGTGGTGGCTGTGGCGACATTCTTTGTCACACTCGCCCTCGCAAACCTCGGAAGTGTCATCGCAAGTGCCATGAAGGCAGAAGAAATTGGAACGTATGCTGGCTTCGGAGGCTTCGCAGGAGGTCTCTTCGAGGACAGACTTGACTTGGATTGAAATTGCGTGACTCGTTTGTGTCCCCGTCATGGTGTAGGATAAATCATGTTTGAACCCACTCATGCCGCCTTGCAGGACATCCGGCGTGTCGTCTTGGCCACAGAAAGCACGTTGAAGAACCACCTGCCACTGGTGGCAGGTGCAACTGCCTTTGCACTAAGCCTACCTTCATGAGGCCGGAGAGTTGCAAAATGTAGTTTCTCAACCCAAAGCAGTCCCCACCTTCTGGTTGTCATCCGCCAACTTTTTGCGACAGGTTGCAAAACGTGAGGGCCAAGGAAGTGCCGTTTCACCGCTGTAGCTTCAACGCACAGTACAGACAGCGGATGCCAGAGACAGACATACTGATGGGAAAAAATGCTCGCAAGCAAAAGTGTGAAAGGCAATTGGAGAGGACTTAAAGCCACCTTTGAACCCTTGACCCATCATCCCATCTCTGACATGGTGAAAGAATCTGGTTAAAGCAGTGGACGGATGGATTCTGGGCCCATGTTAAATGGACCAATCTATGATGTCATAGATTCTAGATACAAAATGATGAGAATGATATATATATATATATTCTATTTGTAAAATACCAATGAAGTTGTGACTTTTTGACGAAGTATCTGAATCTAAGATTCGACATGAAGATGGTTACACCCCCAACCATTTACGGTATTTCCCAGTAGACGCGCCATCAGCAATTTGGTTGATGATTTTTTGTGGGCTTGGGGACGATTAACATCCGTGACTGGAATCTGCCCCCCAGCGGTGGTGTTTGGATGCTTTCGCAAATGTCTCTGTCGCAGATATAGTGAGAAGATAAGATATATGCGAAATTATACAAAGATCGGTGGTTGTAAGATGTGGTGATCTACAAATCTCTCACTGGGGGAAGGCTGCCGTGTCCTTGGTCTACAGTAGACTGGTTCCTCAGTTTGACAAGATCTGAATGCCAGCTTCATCAAGAAGAGACCTTCCAGATGCACTTTCCAGTCCTCGAAATATCTCACATTATGTAGGCAACATCCCCATTTTTTCCGGCTAAATAGTCTCGAGCCATGTTAAGTTAAATTTATCTGCAGTTTTTCTTATAGCCTTAATATTCCCATGTATAATGGCTTTACAGAATATGAACACAAGACAAGCACATCCTGGATCATATTCCAATCATCTTGCTATGAAATCATCTAAGTTACAACAGTTTCCCTCCGGTCATCAAATGTGGCTACCCGTAGCTGGAAAATCCCTCAGCTCCATGATTTTCCCAGCTTGAAACAAATATCCATTTCGTTCGGGGATTTTCCAGCTAGTGTTTGTTTGAATACCAGAAGGGTACGTCCATTTAAGTCCTATTATACCCCATGACATCCCAGGATATTCCTTGATATCATCATGATATCATATGATATCATATGATATCCCATTATACCATGATTTTTCTTAAAACATGTCAGGACGTTATGAACGACCTCTATGGCACAGAGCCTTGGCCCTTGCCGGAGCTGAAGATTCCTAGCCTCGAGGCCTGGAAGACTCATGGGGAGAACTATGGCCATGGCCATGGCCCATAGCTCTCATAGATCAATGTCTTTTGTGGTTTTTCCAATGTTTGTAGATATGTGTTTGATTTTTGATGATTTTTGTTTTTTGGGATGACTTCTCAATTTTATGGAGGGTCAATACCCAAATGGTTCATCCACAACAGACATCAGGTGTCAAGAAGTTCCTACATTCACAGTTAGGCATAGGTTGCATGAGAATTTCCCATGGAAACTTGAGATTTTCGCGACCAGGACAGCCAGGACAGCCAGGACAGCGAGAAGATGGAGATCATGGCGGCCCTTCGGCGGCGAGATGAAAAGCAATTGATGCGGCTGCAATCTGCGGGGCGCTGGATCTTGCGGGATTTGATTCATGGTGGGTGACTCAGCGATTCATGGTGCGCTGTTTTTCTTGTTGGGTTAACGATGTTGGTCTAACAGTGTTATAACAATGTTGTTCTTATTTGGATGATATAGGTGCTTTCAAGATTGTTTTGTGTGATCTTCATTCGCAGTTTTCATCTTGGTGTTTCTTCGGCGTGGGCTGAAACCAAGCAGTTTGATGGCCAGGGGCTCGCAGATCCCAAAGACATTTCTTTGGTAGAGACTTCAGGGTCCTTTGCGACATGCATTGCATGATTTTGGGGATCAATGCTGAGAAAATGATTACTCAAGACTTCTGAGAGCCCTTCAGGAGTGGCAAACGCTCTGAGATGTTCAACCCAGGATGTATAAGACATCATAGGACATCAGAATCCATTTTAAGCGCCTTGGACCTTCCAATAGCTGCAATTGTCTGGCCAAGATTTCAGGTGGACTTCCAGCTCATTCCAGCTCCATCAATTCACATCATTTCATATTTGGCACTGATTAGATCTGATTAGTGACTAATGGTTTCACCCATGTTTTATCCATTTCTCATTTTCCTGGAATCATTGGGGATGAAAATCGACTGGTCCAATTGATGATATTTTTCAGGTGGAAACTTCACAGATTTTGAAACCTGAAAAAAACACCAGGGGATCAGCCGGAGTAGCTGAGTAGCACAGGAGTTTTCAGTCGAGGCATCGTGCGCTCACCTTACTCGACTCCTCTGGCTGGGCAAAGTTTTCAGATCTTCTGGAGGCCAGGAGAAAGTGGCCTGGGATCCCTAGAATTCTATGGTTGCTATAGTTATACTATAGTTAATTATAGTTATCTGTAGTTTTTGTTGATTTTTCCCCATGGTTTCAACATGATTGCTTTTTGGTTATTTTTGGTGTTCAGAGAACGTTGGATAAGTTGTTGGGGTTGCACTGTCGCCATCTTGGTCCACATAGTTTGATTGCAAACCATCAGCAAGTTGAATTCAGTGAGGACAGTTGTGTATTGTTTTTCACCCCAATCTGGATAGTGACTAGCACTTATGCTCAATCACCTTCAGTAAACTCAGTAAAACCATTGAATGGTTCAATTTGAGTATCCATTTTTTTCGACAAACCGGGAGTTATATGCAGCATATATATATACACGTATATAAACACAGTACATACAATACATCAATATATACATGCATGATAAATAAATTAAATAAATTAATAAATAAGATAAATAAATATATATATATGATATATAAGCCTGAATGTCCCAAAAAGACGACACATCACAGTTGTTGGCTGCGGCCTTTTTGTCAAGCCGCCTCCATCTCCAGGCGTTACCTCCTGGGGAACTGGGTCCAGCATTGGATGCATCTGCCCTGGTCATGGCCTTGCAATTTCAGGCGAAACGAAAATCCCCACAGGGTCACGGCAGATCAACAAGTGCTGGTTTGGTGGTGAATTTCTAGGGGAATATACATGGGTTGTATATTAACTATGTGTATATATATATATATTATATCCATATTTTTATGGAGATACTATTTCATATCCAACAGATTGTAACAGCTGAACACTAATTTCTGTATTCGGTTGAACAACATATAATATTATATATACATATATATATATTTCCAAGGATTTCAAGAGTTGTTTGTCACTCTTTGAGGTTTCCACCTCATCAATCAACCAGGGGTTGTCGATTTGGGGGCTGTCATTGTCCAACATGGAACATACACATCCGGCAAACATGATGGCTTCTGGACAAGACAATGATGAGTATATGGTGGACATGTACTCAATTTGGGGATAGCTCACGGTTGAGCAATCACCGCATAGAAGTTTTCACATTTATGAAATGAAGCAACAAATGGAAGCAACATGAAGCAACTCTGGCAACAAATCTCCTGTTGGGTGATTTTCTGAAGACCTGTGATATCCATCGGTTTTCGCTCTGAAGGCACCTGCCATGGCGCAGGGACAGGTGCCCCTGCGATATTTCAAGGTCGCTGGGTGCCAAGGAGATAAGATGCGACTGAAAATTTCGTTCAGGATGGGATTCACTCAGCACGTATCATTGCTTCCTCAAAATGCAAATGATTTCTGTACTATTTCTGGCTCTCGTCAGACTTGTCGGGTGTTGTTCTTTCTACTGAGTTTTTGGAACACTAAGCAATTTTCTAAACATTCTTAGAAGGCCTTCCGGATGTGCACTGTGATGCCAAGTACCCTTATGTTGAAGGCGAGAGTTATCTCAGATGGAGCCTTAAGTCATCACAGCTGCGTGAAAGTGAAGCAACAAGTCCTCGAAGATCACCCGAGGATATCCTATCAATTGACTGCCACTCATAACATGGGCTTTGTGCAACTGGGATTTCTAGTGATGGGCTGACATTATTTGTGAATATGTGTGATACCAAAACTCCACTTGCTGAAGCCTCACTTGTCCACATCACAACCATTTGGAAGTTGCACCATTATTCCACATGTGTTGGTACGTGACATCAGGTTTAATGTCATAAATCTATGGATCATTATGGATCTATGCAGTCTCAACCAACGTGCTTGGCATTTTTTGTTTTTCACCAGGTGTGGGCAGTGTCAGCGCATCCTTCTTTGCTCCTAGAACCCATCAGCCAGTGGCGCAAGATCGCAGATATCACTGAGGTCACTTAGCACGGTGGCTGGTCGTGGCCTTGTGTTGGGAGGGATTGCTAATTTGTTGTGTTGTTTTTCGGAATAAACAGTTTTCTGTCTGTGAATCAAGTGAATCAGTTTGTTGTTCCAACCTGTTTGGTTAAATGATTGGGTGATCCAGCGGTTGGTGATTCTTCCATTAAATCCCTCAAGTTTGTGGCTGCAAAAGGGGTGACCCGTAGACCTACAAAGATTGGTAAAACTGCCCAGAGGCCAATCAAGATCAATCACTGTTTTGTTCGAGCAAAAACTACGATAAACAGACTTGGCTTTTATTGGATTGTCATGGACTATCCCCTCCGCTTCTACCTTTGAAATCAGCATGTTGTTCTGCATGATATGTTTGAAACATAGTGCTCAAATTCATGATGTTTCCCGCGTGACATGGCTTGTGTTTGTAAATAGCCTAAAAAGGTGAAATGATGTGTTGAGGAATCTTAGCATAAAAGACCAGGAGGTCCAGCGTGCATGCAATGGGTTTTATAGACTAACCCATGCGGTGCACCCACGGCATTGTAAGGAACCCCAAGCTTTGCCGTTTTTCTCAGATTTGGGACCTTCAATTTTCCTTGAGAAAAACGATGAGTTCTTTGGTCATGGGTCGCTCATATGCTCTTGGTCCGGAATAACAAAGGCTTCAAAACAATTATAAGCAACCCTTCGTAACCCCAATGTTGGCTTAACCCAAGGCAGTACTTTCGAGGAACTTAATTCTATCAGAATTGCTAATTCTGATTGCGGAACCAGACGTCATAAAGTCTTCTCCAATTTTTTTTTGGTACCATGTAATATTATAGATTGATAGTAACCTTCTGGAAAGTGCCTCAAGTCTATATCGCCGGCGGAGGTCGTCATGATGACGATGCTCTCCACATCTCACTGCACAGACGCCGAGAACGTGAGTCTGGTTTGCGATGACGAGATGCAAGATATGTTCCATCAGCTGGGTACCAGAGAGGCGCTTCAAAATGGGAAATGGGTAGCAGATGAGGGATACTAACTGTGGCATATGGAATAGTATGGGATAAGAACTGGAGGATCCTATGCTAAATTTGTTTGAGTGTGAAGCAACCAGTAGTTCTATATTTCCATATAATTGGGAATTATTTGTGGTCATATCAGGGATTATAGTGTCCCCCCATTTGGGGATAACCAATCATGTTAACTTTAACCAACCACTGCGTGGGATAGGCCATGACCAAAAGGGTATCCTCCACTTCAAGACGCGCCCAGGGATCTCAAGTTCCTGGAGAACATGAGGATTTAGCTGGTAAACATGAAGAAATCACCGAAACAACAGGGTTTAACCAGTAGATTCAGTAGATGTTCAACCTCCAAATCTGGAAGAAGTTGAACACATCAGGGTGTCACCCGCAATAGGGATTCAATCACTGGACCTTGACCCGGCATGGAAAAGAGTTAGGAAATTAAGTTAGCAACACTTGTTTTTTTCACCAGCAGCAACTATTGGGGATACGAAGCAGCAACTACAGCCTGAGATATTGGAGAGTTTCAGCTGGAAAAACACAGAGATACACTTGGAAAGGGGTTGGTTCACACGGATTCAGAGTCTTGGTAGTGATTTGACCAGCAAAACTTTTTGCACAACTGGCAACTGGTTGAAGACTTCTAACAGCTTCCAGGTGTTCAGTTTAATGATGTTTAATGTAGAAAGATGGCATTGAAATTCTTCATGTAGGAATTCTGCGACTCACTGCGACTCACTGCCGCGACTGTCGAAGGATGGGCTTGGACACTTCCCTGTGGTGGAGAACTTCCACGAATTCGTGGGGAACTTTTTGCATCGTGCCAAAGACTTTCTACAGTCAGACCTGCCCCTTGTCATCTGAAATCAAGTGGATCAAGTGGTGAGCAGTGGCAAACGAAAATGGCCGGAGACCTACACATGTAGTAGATTTACTAAATTTATAGGAGATTCATGACATTTTTCTGATTTATTGACGTTAGGTTGATCATTTTATTATGTCATTCATCCCTTTGCGGAGCTGCATCTTTTAGCGTCTGCTGAAGGCTGCTGTGTGGGGAACCTGCTTTCCTTTGTTGGCTTCTCTACGAGTACAAGCCAGCGACTTGGACACCGTGACGGCCGTTTCAGTGACCAGGATCTTGCATTCGAAATGAAATGGAATGAAATGGAATGAATCTAATTTCATATAATGAATGATTACTAATATCGAATGATCAATCAGGATACAGTGACACGCAGCCACAAAACAGTGCAAAAGATGAAAGCCTGCGACGCCTCTTAATCCCCTGACATCTCTTAGGTGGTTGGCTATTTGGGTAATCCTCTGGGAGCATATCTGACGGCCAAGTGGCAGATGCTGTCTCTCGGCCGAGATCGCAATTGCTCATGGATCATGGATCCTGTTCCACAAGCGAACGTAAGTCAACGTAACTTGGTTATACCGGCACTGGATGGCACTGGTATTTTGCTACATCTTGGTCCCCAGGATCAGAGCTTTGGCCATTGCCATTGGCCATCCCGGCCATCCCGGCCAGGTTCTACGACTTCGTGGCCAAAACACCCCAGGCATCGCTTCAACTGGCACCTTGCTGAGTGGAATCCGACCGGACTTGGGATGTTTTCAGCAAGAAAAATATATGGATACTTGTAGAACTTGATGGAACTTATAGAACCACCAAACCATCATAAACCATCAATAGTCAGGCTGTTTTGTGGTATGTGGTAGAAATGGTAGTTATATGATGTTATATGCATCTTGCTTTTATCTCCGCTTAGGGATGAGAATGGAAGATTATTCGTTTGCGTGATATTGAATCCACCAGTTGCGCATCACTGGCGGTCAATGTAGCATGAGCCTCACCAATGTTAGCGATTCTGTAACCAGTGCGAAAATCTTGAAATGTTGGTTTGCATACTATTCTTGGTCTTGAAACCAGATTGTTGTGAAACTTTTCCATTCACGACTTGCACATCGAAACGGATTTGGTGCGGAAAGCCCCGAGAAAAAAATATGTGCGACTCCGCCCTGAGGTGTTTATGTCACCGCCCATTGCAGCACAAGCCTATTGGCAGATGGGTCGCAGAATTCCAGTGATGCGACCTGTGGCAGATTATCTGGGCGTTAGCTATGCACCCGCAACTCTGGATGTTCTCATTACCAAGCAGGCGCCGTCAGGCTGAGATGTTCATGGCCTTTTGTGATTTCGTGGCATAGCACACAAGTACTTCAAGATTCAGAAGATAAGCAACAATGCGCTATCAACATCTATCAACTCTATCATGTGCTCACCTAAGATTAGAAAATGAGATTTACGGAGCCCCATCACTATAAAAATTTGGTTCCCTTTTCACAGGATCCACCGTTCCTTGAAATGAAGTGCTGCCCGTTGGAGGTCTACACGTTTTGGGACTTCCAGTGCATTCTCAACGAAGGCGCCCAACTTTTGCCGGGGACCCAGGCAACTCCAGCGGAAACGCGCCCAGTGCGCTTTCGATATATGTCGCATTTGGAGGAGACCGGAGATTTTTTGGGTGTCTGAATTGTCAAAATGTCAGAAATGATTGAAATATATTGAAATACAGAAATAGTCAGAAAATACCAGAGATAATTTAAGTATATAGAAACGTACATCAAAGTGTCAGACACAAACATTTAAATCGAAGTCATTGAAGGTTTGACTGGGCAGATCATGAAACTTCATGGCTTTCTTGGTATTTCTTGTTGCCAGGACAGAAGTTGGAAGGCATGGTCAAGCTTCCGCGCAGCAGTGGTATTGCCCTATGATGCGCAGACTCTGGTGCCTTGAGATCAGAAAATCCGATGATGGCACCGATTGGATGATTTTCAGTGGCAAAATTTGTTCAAATGACCCAGAAATCCCATGAAATGACCAAATAGATAGATGTAGACATAGACCAAATTCACTGAGACACGAATCTGATTTGCCTTGGACAGCGGCGAACCAAACATGGCAACCGGATTTCGGAGATAGGAAGCCTGATGGAAATCATCGCGGATGGGAAGATCATGGAAGATCTACCTGGAGTTGGTTGAAAAACCCACCATGTCGGCAAGAATCATCCACATCCAAAGCTAATAAAGCTGATAACTATACAGACAATATAGACCAATGAATTTATCATATATATATATATAATTATATATATATATCACATGTATCATAGGAATCATCTAGAACCAATCCTCAATTTGGTCGTAAACTCAGCCCACTGAAGTTCACTGAAGGTCTTCTACGAACTGTACAGCCTCGGCATGCCGTTGTTGGTCCCGGAGGAGACGTTGCTGCCGCTGTTTTTCATGCGGAGTTATGGCTACGACGGAAGTGTGCAGCATCAACGTCCAGGCGCTATTTTTGGTGGGGTTAAAGATGTTTCAACTATAGTGTGTTGAAAAAATATATATATATAGTAATAAGAGTGAAACCCGCATCATGCAATTTTCTTTGAAGATGTTACGAATCACTTAGCTTATCTTAGGTTTTGAATTTGGTTTATGGATGTTTAAGGAACTATGAGTCCTTGTCACTGAAACAAAGTTTCAAGAAATTTCAGCTCCACCGGTCTGACCATCAAGCCTTGTCAGGTTGGCAGTTGACGAGATCCGGGGCAGCCTGGGGGCCCTGGCACCAGGCACCGACCCTTGCGTTGTGTTTGCCCAAAAAGTATGGAAAATGGTAGGCCTTTGCTCTTGACAGAAGGGTTTTTGCTAACATGTGATGGTTTGTTTGAATGTAGACCCAATGTAAAGTAGTTGATCACGCCATATGATATACGATCTTAGTGTCCAGGAAACCCAGAAACGTCTAGCATGTGGCGAATCTGAAGCTCCTCCATTGGTTGCACATGCCACATAGTAGCTGGTTTATGATCCATATATATATATACGTATATATAACCCCTATAGTCCCATGAATATAAGTGGGGATATTCCACTAATCTAATTGGGGGTATGAGCCAAAAACCTAAGTGGGGCCATCCCAATCTCAGGGAAGCTTTAATGAATTGCGCTGGTGGGCCATGTACAGCGATCTTGCCCGGCTGCCTCACTTGCTGGCCGAAAGCTCGGAGAGTTGCACCAAATGTTGGTCCGGGAAAACATGTTATTGTTATGAGGAAGATGTCAACCATGTCAACCATGTCAACCTGCTCCACAAAAGTACTATAACAATCTCTAAGATGTCTCTGAATGTCTCTGAACCATCCGAAATTTTGGAGAGTCAAATTTGATTTCTGGTTTCTACTACTTGTTGGATCCCCAGGGAGCCATCTCGGCCTTATGCAGTGAGATGTTCGTTGTCATTCCTCCCTATTCCCATTGGATCTGGTTGGTGATCATGAGTGTATATAGCCTTATATAGCTCATATTTGATGCATTTTGGTGCACTTTGGCGCTTTGATTTTGGTGTTCGCAGTTTTCCTGAGTTTTCCTATTTCTTTTCCTCACATCCACCAATAAAACCATGCAGTTCAACCCCGGGAACCCATGATTTTTTTACTGGCTAAGGCATGGTCTTCCCTGGCGGAACTGTTCGGTTTTCTGCTTCCATCCAGAGCTGAAAAGTTGTCCAGCACAAGTGCGGCCATGCGACAGGCCTTGGAAATGCTGCTTGAAGGATGATATTTTTTGATAATTTGTTTAACATTCTTTAAAATATCCCGTGGTTAGGCGAAGTTTCCCATTTTCCATGATATTCACAACAAAAAAAGAGGAGGGGTAAGTTGGAGCTAGGAATCGAGTTTCCCCAGCATATTCGATAGTTAAAGATGTTAAAGGGAAGCACCTGGGGTACAAAAAAAACAGCGAAAACCTGGAGATGATGCAGCTGCGCACAGGTCACCCAGCAACATCGCCAGAGGTCGCTGAATTTCTGGCGTGTTGCTCGGCGAAAACCCGATCCAACGGCGCTTGGTTGAACAGACATGAACAGACATTACATGACACCAGGTGTTGGTGGCATTTGGTGGTTTTCTTTGTAGTTGTTCATCTATTTAAAAATGCCATTGGATTCAACTTGCAACCGTCAAACCAGAATTGAGCTTCCGTGTTGGTCCATCATTCCATCCACAGACTTTTAAATGAGTTTTTGAGTTTTTTGTTTCCTGCTTCGAGGCGTGCCTGGCAAATGGTCTTGACCAAGGAGATGTGGATTGATTTCGGCATGGTGCCACTGTGCCACAGCTGCGTTTTCCGTTAGTTTGATGCTGGATGCTGAAGTAGAGTCTTCCACTTCCACGTGTCACTTGGCACATGAAGAAAGGAGTTCCATGAATGTCGATCCGTGAATTCATGGGAAATCATAGGAACATACTCCGGTCCCACAGGAGCAATGACAATTGACAGCCACTGAGGATTGGAGGAGAAGAACACTTGCACCAGGCACTGACAAGGCATCCCAGCTGGTGAGCCAGTTTCCATCCAAGATTGATATGGATGTGTGTTAAAAGCTTGAGGTGGCTCTATGAGAATGTTCAGAATGTTCATCAATATTATTTTTTTATATATGACATTGACATTATATGACCTTTTTTCTGAAGATTTATGTTCACCCTCACCAGCTCAATTCTTGGGCTGTTCGAAGGCTTGCCGGCTGATGGTGCGATGATAGCGGTCTCTTGGCAGGTCCCATGGTTGATGATTGGTGAATAAAATCAACTGGGTGTCGTTGGTATCATGGTAATGATACTGGTACGTGTCCATGGGTACACCTGAGAATGTAAGAAGTCTGTTGAAGAAAGAACATTGTTGTTTGTTTATGTTTTGGTCGTTTTTCAACGTCAGATGGACCCAAAAAACCAGAGTGATTTTTCTCTTCTCATGTTTTGCCAGCATTTCTGCAGGATTTTGCACCTAATCCAGGATGCCAACAAGCAATATGTTCAATGTTGAGACATGCCCAGACGGGCCCAGTGTTTCAGTGAACTTACCTCATCAAATCGTAGAAAGATGTCCGTTTCCCACAATTCACGGGGACAAAGCATTGTTTGATGTGGCACACAATCTATATTTTATTCCATTCCCATGTTCGGGGCTTTACCACTTTGAAATATTTTGAAGATGCCAGCAGAAGCTGCACGCCAAAGGACTAAACCAAGCAAAAAAATAATTGCCTTCATTGATTTCAACACCTCCTTGTGTTTTTGGTTGTTTTCGGCACACTGCCTTCAAGTTTCTGTCATCAGTGTGAATTTTACTTGGGACCCCTAGGCTGCTGGGATGTGGGTTCTTCTTGTTGACCCATTTGATCCTCAACTGCAAGGCTCGATGATGTGGAACGTGGAACACGTGTGGGCTTTGCAGAAATGCAGGCTGTTTCCCAAGACCGGTGGACCCTGGGGTTGACCCCATCCCTATCAACGCTACCATCCTTTTCGGATCAACCAAGTCGCGGTGGAATCTTCACGGCTCAACCTGAAAGGCCGACGTAGCAACGACTCCATACGATCGACTTGAGCATGTTCAGGGACAGGTGCGCTTGGTCTAAGGGGTGGCATGCTTGACATTTCGACAAGTTGAATCGAACATTGAAACAAATATGTGGACATTGGGTGGTGGTTTATTTGGCGAATCTTGCCAAAGGACGGTGACAAAACAGAGGCTGCAGACAACTAGTAAGCGTCAATGCGGATACGAGTTGTGCGGACTAAAGTTACGTTCTGGCAAACAAGAAGGTAGGCGTGAAACACATTACAATCCTAACGAGTGGGCATATGCTGGAGAAATCTTGAGTTCTCCCTTTCAGTGAACTACCCCAGTGCCATCCATGCGAGTAGCCGATCTCTCCATCCAATCCTCGGCTCACAGGTGCTCAACAGTGCTGCTTCCCTAGCAGTTGTAGCTGAAAAAGAAGCCCTTTGAAAGCTGGACCAATCAGGGGGGCTCAAAGGCTTAAAGCCCTGCCAACATCATTGATGGATCAGGTTGGGTTTCCCGCACAACTTGAGATTTGCTGTTGTTGATGATGTCTGGTCTGGCACTGCAGTTGATGAGTTCTGCACGGCCTTAAAAAGCCTTAACAACAAGGAATGTCACCAGCAGAATCAGAAGACCACCATTTGCGGTCTCAGCTTGTTTTTGTTTTGCACATGGTTTTTGCGCGGTGTAACCCTTTCGATTTGTTGCTCCTGCATCTCAGTTTTCCTCTACCCACACCCACTTCCTTTGCCCAGAAAACATGACTTTCAGCGACCTGTAACATGACATCCACGTATCATCCATTTAAAATTTAACAATGTCAACCATGTTGTTTTGTGATTTGATCATCCCCAAATATCCATCAGGCGTAATATATCCCAAATATCTCAATGATATCCACCTTTCTATGATTTGATCGTCTCAAATATCTCAAATATCATCAAATCATCCAAGTCTTCATCCCTTTCTCCTTGAGCACCTGGAGCCCATGTTTTCGCCATGGATTTGGCGACTTTCAGCAGGGTCACCCTGGCGGACTTTGCATCCACGGGCCGTGGTGCAGCGCTGCTGTGCGATGTGAAGCAAGGGGATGTGTTGTTGGAAGTGCCATTGGAAACTGGGAATAACTGGGAATGGGTCAAGTTTATGGTTTCAGAGATTTTTAGGGGTCAAGTTACCTATGAAATTACCATACTGGGGGAGTAAACATTCAGCTATACCAGCTATTTAAGGCTGTTTCTGAGATTTTTAGATGGCTATTGGATGGATGGGAATGTTGGATAATTAGTATGGGATAGAGCGAGGGCCTCTCGATTTTAACAAAGGTGCAATTGCTTCATCTCCTCACCCGACTACATTTTGTGGACCTCTCATCTTCTTCATCTAGTGGGCCACTCCTAGACCCGAACGCCATGATGCAGTGGAGTGCACCTGGACCCGAACTCATGCAAGATGGAATGTCAGAATGGATGCCAGATAGAATGAATCAGAAAGTATGTCAGGACGGATGTCAGATAGAATGTCAGGTAGAAGGTCAGAGCATATGCCAGAAAGAGCGTCAGATAGAATGTCAGATAGAATGTCAGATAGAATGTCAGAGCATATGTATATATATATTACATATTATATAATTATATATATATACACATATGCCGCCATATATACTTCCAGATGGTATGTCAGAAGCTATGTCAGAATGGTTTGTCAGGGTGGGGATGGCTCGAAGAAATTACAGTAAATTGTTTGAGCCATAGAATACTAGATTACTAGATGGATGATTACACTCCGGCAATCAAATGTGGCTAGCTGGGAAAGGAAAATTTTGAACGAAATGGTTTTAACGGGAAAGCCATCTATAAATGGTGGATTTCCATTGCCATGTTTGATTACCGGATATTTACAGTGATGATTTTAAATTAGGGGACTCCAAAATCATCCAACTTATATTCCTCATTTGGAATGATCTGTAATGGGAAACCAACAGTTTTGTGGTCCCTCGTTTGGGGGATGTTGAAGTTTAGTTTAGCTATAGATGTGGGTAGACATGGACACACATATTTATGCGCAAGATCCCACAACTGGAAACTGACCAGCCAACAGATTGAGTATGAGTATTAACATCGGAAAAATATATCAATGTTTTTCTGGCAATTTCCTCGCATAGTTCCGTTGTGAGCCGTATCCTACACATACGCAGCGGAAGAAATTCCATCCGAGATCCATTCCTCAAGTCAAACTTATATTGTTGTCTTGAGATGATATGTAAGACTTGTTGATGCCTTCAACTGCAATCCGTTTTTAATGCAAAAAAAAACATGGGAAGTATTCTCAAGTGACCACCTACAGTTACTGCGGTTGAAAGCTGGGTGCAGATGTCATCCAATTTGGGCATCGGTACGGGTAGCCCGAAAATTCCGGGGAAAGAGGCATCCCAGTTGACTGGCTCAAGCGGGACGTGGCCACTCTCATTCTTTCATCGTGTGGAAAACTTGCTGGTGGTTTCATGTAGGTACTCCAAATGTGATTGTCGAGGTCCAAAAATTGATGAATACTGGCATATTAAAAATTACCAATCGTGGATGGGTCCGTGGGTCCATTTGTATCCCAGTTTTGAAACACACCCATGTCATATGGTCATGGGTTTGGGCGACCCTTTTCTTTGTTGTCTATACCAATTTTGGCGGAACGGTTTTGCCAAAGAGCGGGCTTTGATCCAGGGTCCAATGGTCAACTCTAACTGGGCCTCACTGAGAGGCAGGATCTATTTCAACTCCTAGGACAGATGTTGGACCGCAGAAGCTGCACGGCAATTCCTGGTGACTAAAGAGTTGGAGTCTGGTGAAATCACTGAGAAAGAGGCCATCATTGCACATTTGATGATGGCAAAGACATTGCAGGACCAATTTTTGGGACAGCTGATTTCTTCATTTTGGGCTGTATCATGCATATTCATTTATGAAAGTTTCTGAACAACACAATATTGTGTTATATTATGTTTATCTGTTTATGATTTGCTTATCTCTTAAGGGGGGTCCGAAATTTCAAATCGCCTTTGGTAGAAAGACCTGCCAGGAAGACTCAGAGGGATCGGGCCACTTGGCAATGCTTCCGAGCTTGGAATCGATGAATCTCCCGGCGTTTTGGAAGGACTCGGACTTGCAGCTGCTGGAGGGAAGCGAGGTTCATACCCATGCTGTGCGTTTGCAAGAGGAACTGCTGGAAGATTTTGAAGAACTTCAAAAGAGACTCAGGTGGCCAGCGGCGCTCAAAGATTTCACATGGGCTCACACATCACTGATGTTTTTTGGGTATTTGTTGGTACTTAACCATCCAATTTTGGGTGCAATGACTTTGACCCAATTCCAGGTGCAAAGAAAAAGTTGACTTCGAGACATTTCAATGGGCATGGAGCATCTATTCCTCCAGAGTGATGTCGTTAACGAGGCCCGACGGAACCAGCATCTTCGCAATTGTTCCAGGATTAGATATGTTCAACCATTCACCACACGTCTCTACAGGTTTGTTCCAACTTGGAGAGGACGTGGTATGTGTTAAAGCCGGTGAGGATTTGATGAAGGGACAACAAGCCTTCATCAATTATGCGGCTGATATGTACAACAGCCAGATGCTGTTATCCTTCGGTTTCATCCTGGATGATTCTGACCTACAGAGTAGCGAGGTCACCCTATCGTTGCAAGTCTCTCCGGCTCAACTGGAAGTTCATCGAAAGCTTCTGGATTCCTTGGAGGGGCCTTTGTCGCGGATCTTGCATTTGCCAAGCGGAAACGATTCGGAGTTGATCGTGAAACATGTTCTCACCTGGAAAACCCCCTTGCCTGCAGCATTTTTGGCACAGGTGCGGATTCAACACATGGATCTGAATCAGCAGCGGATGGAATCAGTTGTGGCTCAGGCCGCTTATGGCCTAACAGCCAAAGATGAGATAAGAACGTTACTTTTGATTTCCATGTTATTAGAAGGAAAACTTCAAGAACTTCAACGCCCTGAGCGCAGTGGACCTGTCATTCTGGCCTTAAGGCAATGTGCTGGTGAACGCTTGGTGCTGCGAGAAGCTTTAGCTGAGGTGGCCGTGGGTCAAAAATAGTGGTAATTAGCTGGTAGCCACCCGAAAGATCGAGGATGAGGAATGGTAAAACCATTTATACAATATTATATATATATACAAAATTATACAAATATTGCAATTGTATTACCATAATGTGATACTATGCGCATTGTGTTTTCAAAACTGGTTGCTAGTCAAATTGTGTGTTGGGACCCCCAAAAAAGGTGACGCTTGACAGGGGAAATTTCTTGGGAAGCCTGTGAACAATGGCCAAAATCGACCGCATCTCTTTTCCAAATGATGTTGGCATATTATTTGTTATTATGTTGCGCCAGAAAGGTAGATCGAATGATCTTGGCCACCATCCGAAAAGCCCTGAGTTCCTTGAAGTCCACGGCCGGCCGCGATGCAGCCGAAACGGCGGAAACGGCCCAGACTCCCTGGCTGCATCGCCTCAATGCAGCGTCCAGCAGGTTGAGTGCTGAGGTGTCGTCTGTGGCACGGCTCAGTAAGAATCTCTGTGATCGCTTGCCAAAGGTTCATTTGATTCAGGCTGGGCCACTGGGGTTGGTATAATTTTGGTAAATGTTCCAGCTTGATGTGTTTCTTTTTCTCGAAAATTATAACTTTGCAGGGTGGTGAGCTGCTGAAACATGTATTTTGGGATGTTCAACATGAGAAAGAAGTTTTTGTATCAAGATGATTTGTCCCCCATTGGGCCAGCTGGATTTTACAATGGCTTCAGCCACCACCAAGTTGGTGTTCAACTGCGACAGCAATCACCCGCCCGAGGCATGTCACATCTTCAATGCGTGGCTGGTGGGTCGCAATGACCACGAGCTGCTACCCCGCCTTTGTTTTGCCAAGACAACTTGGCCTTTCGACCAAGCTGAGTGTGACCATACTGACGCTTCTGCTTCCATCCTGGGCTTAGAAGCCGATGGTCAGAAACCAGGTGGAGGATATGCTGGGCAACCATCATCAGGTGGCTGCTTCTCAAACAATGGGGTACTGTAGCCCTTTTCACCAAGAAAAAACACACGTTTAACAAGGACCGATAACTTGGATGATTAACATAAGTTTAACATACATGTAAGTTTTCACCATTGGTTCTCCCATTCCTAGAGGACGAATTTCGGATTGTTTTCTTGCCATGACTTGCTGTGCCCACCAGGTGCTGTTTCATCCTGTGAGAATCCCTATCTGTCGCTGTACCACGAGAAAATTAAGCTTTGGGGGTCCTGGCTGCTAGCGCAGTGGATCCATGCCGATGCCTTTCAGCTTTCGGATCTGAGTAGCATGGGACAGGAGCAGGTCGGCGGAAAGTGCTGGGTTGAGAATCGGATTGGCGTTGTTTGTTGGGAGGAAAAATCATCATACCTGCCCTTTGGCTTTTGAGACTGGCGGATATCCGGGATATCCCATGAAGTTCTACAACTTGCATGGAGAAAATGATGATAAACCAACATAACCATGGGATGCCAGAGTTGGGGCCCAGTCTGTAACCCTTCCCAAGTCCCATCGCCATCATCCCCTCGTTTCAGGTGATGCTCCGCAACCACCACGCCTGGAGCGTTCCAAGTGATGCGGCACTGAGGATTTTGGCGTCCCACGCGCCATTGCTGGAGCTGGGTGCGGGGACGGGCTACTGGGCCTCCTTGCTGAAGCAGAGGTGTGGGATGGATGTGGTGGAGGTGGAGGTGGCCCAAAAGTGTGCTGAATTCATTTGATTTCGGTGAAATCGCTTATAGATGGGCATTTAAATCTTCTATAGATGGAGGATTTTCCATGTCCATGTTTCATTGCCAAGTATTTATTTGTTGATCCTTTGCATCACATGCGATGGTCATCCCCGTGGCTTCATTCTGGACCGCATAGCTCTGGGGAGTGGCAACCAAGATGGGGGTCGTCAACATGGCTGGCCAACCAATCATTGCATTCGGATAAACTTTTCGGCTTTCCGGATCGTAGGCAAATCCATATGCCATGATATGCCTGTGAAATGGCACCTCAATATCGCATGCATATTTGGCAGACGCGTAGGTCAGTTGACATTGTAGCCTTTGACGAGAAGCATTTTCACTCGTCCTTCAACAGCCAGACAGACATCTCTGAAGGTCAAGAGATCAGCAGCAGATATTTCTGCGATGTGAAGCAAGGTGGTCCGGAATCCGTTGGTCAATATGAAGATCGAACTTTGCTCCTCATGTGGCCAGATTATATGGGTTTCGGCGCCTATGGTCTGCAGTGCTTGCAGCATTACAAAGGCCAGAAGCTGATTTTGATCGGCGAATGGAAAAATAGCACCTTTGGATCATATTCCAAGGGAGTCTCTGAGCATGGTCAGTCCTTTTCCTTGGAGTTCCAGAACAAAGTGGAGGACGAAGAGGTTTAACCATTTGTCTGGGTAAATTGCAGCGACCTCATTTGTCTGGGTATAGGGAATCATCCCAAAATCACCTTTTTTCAGATAGTGAATTATTGTAATTTACCCAGATATTGCACGCGCGATTGAGTTTTTGAATCATCAAGGCAGCAAATAGAGCAAATACCAACTGAATCACTGAAACTGTCCTAAATCACTACCAAAATGACTCTCCAAAAGAATGACATATGGATACATATGGCACCATGTTTGAAGAAAACGCAAAGAAGGCTTCGAATTTTGAATTCTATTCAAACTTATGTGTATATATATATATATATACATATTTTTATTCATGGATCAGGTAGAAGTTGGACATGTTTTTGTCCAACAATCCACCGCTCCACCTCTTCCCCGAGGAGGAGTTTCAGCTCGTTGAATCCTTGGATTTACCTAACTGGCCGCTATTCCTGGATCGGCTCCAGGTTTTTCAGCGGGAGCAAAAAGGGTCTGGAAGGTGCCATGCAGTGGCCAGGTAAGTCAGGTAAGTTTGATGGAGATGTTTGCAGAAACCATGAATCTTATGTATTTTTCATGATGTTTCTCTTCTTTTTGTGTGGGTGTTTTTTTCCAAAGTGCCAGTCTGAAGCTTTATGCGGTGTCAATAAATTTGCAGATTGACATTTCGCAGCTGTGGATGTTCCTGATGGTGTGCATCCTGCAGCTTTTGCCAAAGCAGGAACAGACAAACCACGTAAACTTGATGTAGGCCCTCATGGAAGTGAGTCACTGATGCTTCGTTTCGATGCCAAAGGAAACACAGCATGTCAAAATTGAGACGATTTTGAATAGATATCAGATAGAGCACATGTTGAAGTTGAGTTCTTAGAATGTTTCATTTGCAGTTGCTAGAGTAAAATGACTGATACCAGATATTGCAAAATTACCTCCTGTCCTCTTTGTTCAGATCTTAGATTGTGACATCCAAGAGCTGCGCAATGTGACTTCCATTCTGCTTCTTGTTTGGACGCATCATGGAAGATCATGCTCTGATCTTTGAGAGTTCTGAGGCCTGGTCCAAGTGAAAATTCAACTCATGAGATGATTGGCATAGCAAAACATAGCAAAACTATGGAGGATTATGGAGGTTTCCTACTGGTTTTGAGGATCTGAGAAACTCCCAATTCTATCCAAATATAACTGCCCATGCTTCAACGGTCACAGGATGTGGAAGTGGTGCGAACCTTCAACGCCATGGGTTTGAAGGAAGATGTGCTGCGAGGAGTTTTCGCCTACGGCTTCGAGAAGCAACTTGGCTGTGCTGTTGTGTTGGGTCTAGGTTTTTGGGCTTGAACTTCTGGGTGGTTGAACATGAAACATAGAAGGGCCCTAAGATGGTCGTACCCCAAATCATCTGAAATTCGACGGTTAGTATTGAAACCTATGGTTTTGGGGGATCCCCCATTTTAGGAAACCTCCATATTTGTTCAAGCCGACAGATGGTTTCCCAATTTCACGTGCTAACAACCTAGGCCATCGGCGGTGCAGCAGCGAGCTGTTCGACCCATCCTCCAAGGTTGAGTGGATCGCATCCCTCGTTCATGTTAAACACCCCCAATGATCCCATATATGTGTGAATTCCCTGTTTAAAACATGTTTAGACCATAGGGGGTGCTTGAAATTACGGGGGTTGTATTTGAATTTTAACTTCTTCAACTGGAAGATACTGAAAGGTTTGGACAGACTTGCTGGTGCAACTGAGCCAGGTTGCAAATCCCCCTTGACCTTTTTGGTATGGGGCTGGCATGGGCTGGCATAATCTTCCGTAATTCGCAGCCTTTGTGGCAAAGACAGGGAAGCATGTCATGTTGCCGTAAGCTGGAAGATGATGTTGTGTCATGGCATGTGCCGAAGATGGCAGATCTGGTAAATCCTGCCAAACTGATCATAGACATCGAGAGCCACCGCAGGTCGAGATGTGATTGTTCAATCCCAGAGCGGCACAGGCGCTATCGACATGTTTTGTCCAAGGTTTTGGCCTGAAAACATGTCTTGACATGTCTTGACTACTGTACTGTTTACCAAAGAACAAAAGGACCATAGCGACACAGTGTTTCATCCCTGTTTAACAAGAATTGGTTGTGTTTTTGGCATGTGACAATCATTGTCAGATCTTTCTTATCAGATTCTGTAGACTGTAGTCTATCTTTTCAGCATCAGAGAATTTGTTGTTCATCCCTTTTTTCAGGTTGCATGGTTTGCTATGGCTTCCTGCGGTGGTTACAGGTAAAACCTCGGTGTTTTGCCTTGGAGCCTTGCAGTCTGTGGACTTCAACCGCATGGAACCACAGGTGAGAGGTCCAGAAATCAGCTGGATGGTCGTGGTGGATTTTTTTTGGAAGTTGGTATAGCTTCCCCAAAATAGGAAGGTTTGGAAATGGGGATCATGGATGACCATGGTATTTTGAATGTTGACTTATTGATTTCTTGTTCTGATTTTTAGGGTTGTTCCTAGCGAAGTAGAATAACCACCAGGGATGGTTTAGCTATTTGAATCGATAGTTGTATGGCTATGGAGGGTACCAGGGTTTTGGCTCATAGCCATATAATGATCTTTATCTGCTGTGGCTGCATGATTATTGACATATCAGCCGGAGGCGATTCTTCTGTCTCCCACCAGAGAACTTGCAGTGCAAAGCGCCAAGGTTTCTTGGACCAAGGGTACAGTAGGTGGATGCGGCTGTAAACCTAAGTGACTGATCAAGATCCTTGGTGTGGTTGCAACCATCTTGGGAATTTGTTGGGCATGTTTGTCAGTTTCATGATGCCGCAGGATATTACATTCATGGATCCAAGAAAAAATCAAAGTGGCAAGTTCAGCAGGGCAGGATATCAATCTGAGACGGATCATGTCTTAGTGACAGGTACAGCACGCTTGGGCTTGAAATGCAGAAGTCATTTGAAGTCATTTGCCCGCCCTCCGCGATGCCAAGGTGTGTTTGGCCCTGGGCGACTATGTCAACTGCAAAATCCACAGTTGTTTGGGTGGAAAAAGTGTGAAGGATGGGATCAAAGTCATGAAATCAGGCGGGCCTGAGGTAAGAGGATGCCACCAGGTATCACCAGGTACCATTTTCACGTGCCAACAAAGATGGATCTGTACCAAGTGCTTCTATATGAATGATATTGAATGGTGTTTGAATATCCCATCTTCGTTCGTTTCTGTTGGTTTCTTTGACGTTTGTTGAGTTTTCTTGCTTTTTCTACGTTGTGATTCCTTGCCAGTACGGCAGATCCTAGAATCCTCGTGCGGCAGGGGTCCATATCATTTCTGGAACACCTGGTCGAGCCCGGGCTCTGAGACAGTGAAAACTCATCACTGGAACGATTAGAAAATCACCAGGAAAAACATGATATAAATGGAATTAATTTGATTTAAAGAAACATGCTGCCAGTCACTTTGGCCGCTTAAAAGATTCCGTCTTTTTCCCTGCAGAAGTTGAGGTCCTGAGCATGATCCGCCAGCAGCATTTGCCTGCTCCTTGGCAGAAAAACAAACGCTTCGTTTGCTTCAAAATGTCAATAGCAATAGTGATGATATTATAGTATATATGATATTACATAATATTACATCAGAATACGTCCAATGTGTCATCATCCATGGGCAGGGATTGGAAAGACGGGAAAGAAAAATATGTGTGTATATATATATATATAACTCTCTGACCCCGTATTTTTTCTGTGAAGCCAAGGTGAAAAGAATAAAGATGTTAGTTTTAGACGAAGCTGATGAGATGCTGAGCAAAGGCTTCAAAGAGCAGGTGGAAATCAGCTGCAGAAGTTGCCGCGTGGGACATTTGGGGCTGTGAAATAGGCAGCTGTTCTTCAGACATTTTTTCTGGCAACTGTTCTCTTTAGCAGGTGAGATATCACAGATGTCATGATCATTCATGATCTATCTCTGCTAATTGCCACCACGCACCCCCAACTTTAGTGGTGACCAGTGAAATGGTGCCATATTTCTTGGTTTGGCTATTAACATCCACCAAAAATTCTGGTCACATGCCTATGCTTGTTGGGTCATAATCTCGCCACGTTTGACATCAAGCCTGATAAATCCCTAGCTGGAAGCCCGAACAAGCAGAAATAGATTGTGGATATGGTAGGGAAACAACATGAAACAACCCTTGATTTTGGTTCTTTTGCTGTTTAATCCCAAACAACATGTTTTTTTCGGCGGATTTCTTGTGGCGCAGATAGCGCAGGTCTATGGCATCAAACGCTTGTTACCGGAGAAGCTTCAAATAGTTCTGGTCTCTGCCACCTTGCCAGACGAGGCGGTTAATCCTGGGATACACTGGGAATCAGGGGAAAATCACAAGATTTAAAAGTTGGGATGCAATGGATAAATGGTGTTTGATTGGTAAGTAGGAGGCTATACATGGTTCTACTACCTGGTACCTTGTGTATTGAGGATTCCTATGACTCGGTATGATCCATGATCCATAGGAATCCGGTTCTCAAACCAAGCAACACCAGTCTCCAGTCTCTGAAGGTGACATAGGAGGTGATAGGAAGTATATCCCTGCCGCTGGGCCCATCTGGGCCCACCATAGTAGTCAGATGGGGCCGTATCCATTGCATCCATATCCACCAATACTTATCTTTACTTGTCATTACTTTTTTCAGAGATTTGATCTGAATAAGTCCAAAACTATTCCATTGCACAGTGAATCCATATCTAAACTGTCCTGGGCACCACGGCTTCGACCCATCCTCAGGTTCTCGAGCTCACTGAAGATTTCATGAAGAAACCCTTCCGGCTGTTGGTGAAGCGAGATGAGCTGTCCTTGCACGGCATTCAACAGTTCTATGTGGCCGTGGATAAGGATGGGACACTATGTTTTTTTCGGTTTCGAGACGACCATGTTGAGTGAAATTCCCTGATTCTAATTGTGACTTTGAGAGGAAACATCGAAACTTCTTTGAAAGACCCGATTTCTCCGTTGAGAGCCGTTGAGACATTGACATCTCCTTATTTTGTTGTCCACATTCTATCATTTTGTCCACAGAATCCACAGAGATTCGCAGGAACAATGGAAATTTGACACCCTCTGTGACATTTTCGACTCTGTGGCCATCACACAAGCGGTGATTTTTTGCAGCTCGGCCAGTGCCAGATGTTGTGACAGCGGGTCATCCAAAGTAGGAACAGAAAGCTAAAAGGGGGATGGGAAATCGAATGTCGATGGCTATGAAACCAACAAAGTATGGGGATTTGAGAGGATGGATAATACCGAACATTAGTATGGCTAGTATTGGCTAGTCGTATGGGTATGGGTCTAAACCTCTGGATCCATCTGGATCCGAGAGTGGGACGCTGTCAGGCCTCCATTCTTACAGTTTTTTTCTTCTGAATATAGGGTCCAGTTTGTTCTTTGCAAACTTGGATTCATCCCTTGGCAAAGCTATTGAGCAGTGACTGTGATCTACCATGATCTACCCCTGTTGATGCATGTTGATGCTTATAGATATAATTAGGGGATTTTTACATGATTTTACTACCTTCTGTATTGGAGATGATCAAAATCAACTGGGAATCCCGATCTTAACCAACCAGGATGAAATGTAAGGACAGCGGGTGCAATGAAGAGTTGGTGTTTCATGGCAGGCAACAACCGGAAGAAAGTGGACTGGTTGGCGAAGAAGATGAGGGAATCCAACTTTCCCATTGCAGCCATCCATGGCGACATGCCTCAGAAGGAGCTTTCCCTCATGGCAAGATATAAGGAGATATATCCAAAGGGTGGACCCAAAGGAAACCTTTGATAATGGCATGATAATGGCTTACGGATGTTTACAGCATAGTGATTTTGATTCATAAGTTCCAACATGTTCCAGCAACTAAAGGTCATTTTGGGAGTTTTCATGACTTTTCCTTTGATTTTTTGAAAGATATCTAAATTCCAGAGTCATCTTCATGGCTTGCGAAAATGACGAGAGGATCGTGACACGGTCATGGAGGCGTTTCGAGACGGTCGATCGAGGTGGGTCCCGGAAACTGTGGGAAACCCAGGTGCATTTCATGTTTGATAATCTAAACTGTAAACCATGTAAGCTCAAATCTTCAAACTGGAAAACTGGAGATATTCGGCCTTTTGATGGATTCTTTTAAGCACGTAACCATATGAAGGTGTCTTTTTATATTTGTTTGTGGACTTGGGGAAGGAATGCTTACATTCTGAGTTTCTATGATCGTCATCGGATCTCTGCAGACAACTCGTCGCGACGGATTTGATTGGACGTGGTTTGGACGTTCAACAGGCCGACAACTCAGAGGAAAAACATACCTCAGCTGGCGCGCTCATGTTTCCTTCATGTTCAATCACGGTTTTGGAAGTGGGGGGCTTTTTTTTCCAGCCTGGCTTTGTGGCTTCTGTGGCTTTTGTGGGTGTGTGGCTTTTGTGGCCTTACCATGCTTTACCTACCTATCTAATCTATCTGCTTTACCTACCTATCTAATCTATCTGATCTATCTGATCTATCTGATCTATCTGATCTATCTGATCTATCTGATCTATCTGATCTATCGATCTATCGATCGATCTATCTATCTATCGATCGATCTATCTATCTATCTATCTGTCTATCTATCTATCTTTCTTTCTTTCTTTCTATCTTTCTATATTTCTATCTTTCTATCTTTCTATCTTATCCATCTAATCTACCTTATCTACCTTATCTACCTTATCTAGCTTATCTATCTTATCTATCTTATCTATCTTATCTATCTTATCTATCTTATCTATCTTATCTATCTTATCTATCTTATCTTATCTATCTTATCTATCTTATCTATCTTATCTATCTTATCTATCTTATCTATCTTATCTATCTTATCTAATCTATCTATCTATCTACCTATCTATCTATCGATCTGTCGATCTATCGATCTATCAATCGATCGATCGATCTATCTTTCTATCCATCTATCTATCTATCTATCTATCTATCTATCTATCTATCTATCTATCTATCTATCTATCTAAGCTATCTGAACTATCGATCTAATCTATGTAAACTATCTATCTAATCTATTTTTCTAATCTATCTGATCTATCTAAACTATCTAATCTAATCCAATCAGATCTAATCTAACCTAATCTATTTTAATCTAATCTAATCTAATCTAATCTAATCTAATCTAATCTAATCTAATCTATCTAATCTTGTTCATCTATCTATCTATCTATCTGTCTGTCTGTCTGTCTGTCTGCCTGTCTATCTTTCTATCGACCCATCCATCCATCCATCTATCTATCTTTATATCCACACCTTCTATCCCTATATAAACCTTAATTCAACCCTCAACATACTTTAAATAGACCCTGAACCAACCCTAAATAACCCTAAATAGCCCTAAATGACCCTAAATAAACCCTAAATCAACCCGAAATAAACCCTAAACCAACCCTAAACAAAACCAACCCTAAATAACCCTAAATATCCCCCAAACCAACTTTCAACAAACCCTAAACCAACCCTAAATAAACCCTAAACCATCCCTAAATAACTCTGGATAAATCCTAAACCAACACTAAATAAACCTTAAACCAACCCTAAACCAACCCCAAACTAACCCTAAATAAACCCTAAACCAACCAACACCATGATAGCATCCAATACCACTATTTAGACCCAACACGGTTGTGCTTTAACCTATATTCTACATGTTCACCAGGTGCATGTTATGCATGAAAAAATCGATTGAAACCATGGAAAAATCAATCGAACCCATGGCAAACTCAATGAAGCCTATGGAAAAATCGATGAAAACTGTGGGTAAATCAATGAACACCATGAAAAAATCGATGAACAGTGCAAATGGCAAATTTTAGCTCCAAAATTCAGCAAAGTACGGGTTTTTGCTCCAAAAATAGCAAGGAAAAGTGCCCCAGACTGAAAAACAAAAAAAAAATCTGCACCCGTTTGGAAATCATTTGGGATGATGATGTGCGCTGAGTGCTGAGCTTCAATTTTTTGCTGATGGCTTGAAACTGGGAACCATACAGGACAAATTCACACCATAAAGATCCGTCCTTGTGGCACAGCTGCTGCTGTGACATGTACTCTCTTCATCATGCTTCTGTCAAATTCACTAGTTCTCTGCAAAGGTCAGCCTGGTGATCAACTACGATGTTCCCACAAGTCGGGAGTTGCGCGTCGTGGACGGGTGGATCGGTGTGCAGAATGCAAAGTCTTGCCATCAATCTGACCACAGTTTGCTCACCAAACATCAGCGAGGCTTCCAAGTGGGTTCTTTATCACAAAAACGCGCACAAAAATAAACATAAATAGAATCTTTCGAGTTTATCCCAATCTCAATTTTGATACTTTTGGTTGTATCCCATGATATTGAAGGCCAACACCAAGCATCACCAACACCAACAAGCAGCGCCGATCCCTTTTCGGCTCAGGTTCTACTTGCATCGCATTGGCCGCTCCGGTCGCTTTGGGCGAAAAGGCGTCGCGGTGAACTTCATGAGGAGCGATGGGTGCTGAGATAGTGATGGTATGATCCTGATAAAGCCCTGATATGATGCTGATCAATTCCAACTCACTCAGAAACGTCAGGAACCAACTGGATGAAAACTATAATTGATATATATATATATATCTCTCTCTCTCTCTCATAATCTAATGTAAACTAATCTAAATCTAATCTCATCTAATCCTAATCTAATCTGATCTATCTAGCTATCAGCCGCAAGTGGAATCTGTGCAGGACGGAAGACGAGCCATTGATTGCGGACTTGGAGAAGTTTTACTCCATTTCCATCAAGGAGTTGCAGACCTTGAATGCTGTAAGGTCGCTTGATTGGTTGAGTTGGGAAAATCTTAGCCGGAAGCCATAGATCTCCCTTGTTTTCCCCATCAAATATAGGCAAAAAGGGTTTTCTGCAAGAATTCCCTTGAAACATCCCATGATGTAAGGTTGATTTCGTTTCTGCCAAAGTCTTCTCCTGATTGCACTTTTCTTCACGGACGTAGGTTCGTGGTGGTGGTTGTAGACAGATGCTTGATCCGGCAATTTCGACGACCACCATTCAATGAATTAGTTTTAAGAGTTTTGAGTAAAAGAGGAAGCTGTGGTGTCCCAAAAAGAGCAGTCACGGATGATTCAACTATGGATTTTCCTTTAAACCGATTCTAAGTATCCTTTGGTGAGCGAAGCAGCTGCCAAAGTCAGCCGTTTTTGGCTTCGCAGGAGCTGCCAGCGAACTTCGCGGCGCTTCTGAAGTGACAAAAACGGTCCGTTGCACCAAGGGCTTGGTTTTGTGGGAGCCGGGTGGTCTTCCATCCGCCATTGAACACCTCAATTTTCAGGACACTAAAAGCAATAGATCCAATACATTTTACTAGGGTTTCCACAGATATTCAAGATTAGGATGTAGGGATTGATGGAAAAGATTGATGATTTTCCCTTCATGGGTGTGGCTGTGGAGTGCCAAAACATGCTTGATTTCACCCAGCCCTATCCAGACAGGCAAATTTCCCGGCACTGCGATGGCCAGTGAGTGTTTGCGTCACATGTTGAATCATGCTATGTTCAATCCTTCAGAGTTTAGGTTTGGTCCGCGGGCATTGTGTGTATCGTTTCTGGACCGTTCCCAGCATATACGTTTTTGTGACATACGTTTACCTTGAATCACGCTGCCAGATTTCACACATTGATATCAGATGTTGGGAGAGTTGTTTGCCAGTTTGAGTTGTGCCATGGTCAAGTCGGAACCTATTTACCTATATACTGGTGGATGGTCATACCACCCTTAATAGCGAATTCTCATATAATAATGATGGATTTCCCAATTTTTATAGTGAGATGAGCGCATCCACCTTACTGAGCCTGCTAGCTGGGCTCAGAATTCGGTCGCGCCCTGGCTTCCACCGGCGAGGTGTGGATGGCTAGAAGGACGTGTTGAACGAAGATGAATGCAGCAGAAGAATTCAGGATATCTTAATGTTGGTTCATCTGAATTAAGCAAGTTAGTGGTGAAATTTCTTCGTGATATCTAGAATCTAGACAGGGCCAGGTTGTGTCCCTTTCCATGCTGCATTGATATGAAACTGGCAGTGCCGTGAGGTGCCAAGATGGAGGGGGGTGGCAGCATCTTGGCTGAGGAAAAGCCACGTGTTGGGATGGCCATCAAGCCCTGGAGATTTTTTTGGAGATTTCGGAGATTTCCCAAGTGGGGGTATCCCATGCTATCCTCAGTTATTGAAAGAATACATGGTCCAGAATTTTCGGGAAAACCATCCAGCGGGGGACCTCGACTCCAAGGATTGGAGCTGGAATGCACCATGGATGATCAGGACGGCCAGAGTAAATCAAAGGAGCTCCATGTGGGGCAGAAAAAAAATGGCCTTAACCTCCAACAAATCATGTTTTGTATAGTTCCTAGGCCCAAGATTTTATACTTATAGACTTATAGAATCTTATAGAATCTTATAGAATCTTATAGAGACTTAGAGTCCCAACAAACCTCAGTGGAATTCGTTCCAAGATCCCCAACTTCTTTCGCAGGATGTGGTCGTCCTCGATGTTGGCTCCGGCTTCGTGAAGGAGAATCCCGTCATGGAATGAACATGGGGCTTCGATCTTTGAACCTTTTTTCCAAGATAAACCCATATTTTCCATATATGTTCCATGCCATGGATGGTAGATCTAGTATCTTTTCCGACGTTTAAAAGTTTAAACATGATCTCCTTTTTATGATGTGTTAATATGTGTTACATATCATATTAGATCATATTAGATCTAATTTTTTGATGTTCCCACATTTACCAGCAGAAGTGATCTACATCTACCAGTAAATCTCACAATCCCATGGGCCTCTTAGTCGTATGCAGGTTGGCTTCTGCGGGGAAGATGCCCCTCGCGCCATGCTCCCTACAGCAATGGCGACGGCCACGGCAGATGAGAATCGGGAAGACGAAGCAGCACCTGTTGGGACGTCCCAGGATTTAACCAGGATAGAAAATGATAGAAACCCCTGCGTATGATGCGGTATGATCTAGGGGTTTAATGGAGTTTACCATGGCTTACCAACTGTACCTGAGCGGCGTTCAAAACCCCTGTTGGTTGATGATTGTAAGCAGCTAATATTGACCAATAGTGGGGATTATCATAATGCATTATTAGAAAATATTGGAAATCCGAATAACAAGGCAGTGAAAAAGGGATAACAGATGGCTTTGAACACTGCTCACTTGCTTTATCATGGGAATTATGAACTCACTAGCCCATTCCGCAGGAATATGCATAAACCGATCAGCATCATAGGATGGGATAGGGGTATTTTTCGTGGCTCATAACACCAGAGGGGTCCCATTGCATGATTTTCAGCGATGGATTTCTCTTGCATTTCAGCAACAAAAATCCGAGTCAGGGGTGTAGCAGAGGACATGGTGATCACGGTACAGTGAGGTGGAGGAGTTCGAAGAAATAGCATTGAAAATTGAAAATAGCATAATAAGGGGGAATTCTGTGCCAACTTCGCTCGAGAATCGTCAGCTGATCAGCTTCAGCTCAGCCTCCAGGTCTCGGGCGATTCTGCGCAAAAGAAAAGTCCCCAAACTCAGCGAGTTTTCATGGCTCAACCTTGGTATATCGTATCCTGAACCACTTTTTGAAGAAGGGACAATTTTTAGGAAACCCTTGAGACGGAGCACATGGTTAGAAGTTCGCAGTTTTCACTTCAACTTCTATCGAATCTAAGGTCAACTGTTCTATCGTTCTGTCCTTGGTTCATTCCGGCTGAGGTCAGGTATTCTACGGTGAGGAAGCAATCTTGCAGGCGGTGTCAGAGCCACCAGCCGGGGGGATCTAAAGCTGGATATCTTCAAAACATGAATGTGGTAGTTGTAAGTTGCGACAAACCTTTTCAAATCATGATCTTTTACTAGCCTATTCTGGGAGAAAATGATGATTCATACATGTTTATATGTACTTTACACACTAGTTGAAAAAGAGCAAACTATGTTCAGAAAATGTTTTTGCTTGGTGAACCTGGGATTGTCACCAGAAAAACTTCATCGAAAAAAATCGGCTGCTGGACATTTGGGAGCTGTATAAAGATGTGTAAGGGCGTGTAAAGATGTGTAAACATCGCATTCTGAAATAGCTGCGGAGTGCTGATATTGATATGTTTCATTATTGTTCAATATCACTCACGTTCTGAGAATCTTCGGCATACCCTCTGGGAATCAAACATAGCATGGAAGAGCCCCAATTTATACATGTGTTTGTCCATGTTTTTTCCCAATAAAATTATTAAAACGTTCATTTTGTTTGGGTTTGTTGATGTTTTTTGTTTGGGTTTACCCTTTGGAAATCGTTATGCTGGCAGAGGAGAACGCGGTGATCACGCGGCCGGTGCAGCGGGGAGAACTCCAACTGACGGCTCCCGAAAAGGCCACGGTAGCGAGAGAGCCGGTTGAGGGTCAACCGGCGGTTCCGAAAGAAGGGATTTGGGTAACCCCAAAACGGGATCATGTTTGTTGATTTGTGTTTATATTTCTTGATTGTTGATTTTTGCGGATGTTTGTTGATGTTTGTTGACTTGTGGGCTTGTGGATTCGTCATTAGGATGATTTTGGGTTGGCCCGTAAACCGTTAGACCATGTTAGACCCATATGTTGTAACTATATTGCTTATTGATGCTTATTGTTACTGTCGTTACTCGTATTTGTATATATATATATTATATGATTATACTAACATGTTTGACTGGCATCATGGGACGGTGGGAGCAGTCAAAGATGTTTGGCTGATGTTGGGACGAGTATCATTATGCACGATTACCTTGTGACAAGTTCTGTTCTACAAAAGTTGGGATGAAGATGATTGATTTTGCAAACAACGTATATTTCATGTACTTCGAGATGTTCCACTGCAGTAGCCTCTCCAGACAAAAAAATGAAACGTGTTTCTAAGAAAGATAATCTTTACCCCACGATTTCCAAGTGTCCATAGTTTCCATAGTGTTTTTCCATTTTTGGAGATGTCATGAGATGTCGAATTTGGATCATGAGATCCAACTGGAGATCTTGGAGGAAGCTGACCATGTCTTGAAAGGACGCCATGGAGAACCTTCTCGAACACGTCTTTCGAAACGTCTTGGGTGTGGAGCAAGAGGACTTGGATGCCTGCAGCGCCACTGTGTCTTTTTGGTGGGAAATGATGACATGTTGCGTAACGAAAAAGATATAAGAGTAGAATCCTATACTCAAATAGTGATGATTTACTTGTCTATTTTTTCAGGGTTTACTATACTATGAAAAAGTATCATGAAATGGATTGAAATGTTGGATGTGTGGCTGGCAGCGGTTTGTGACTGGAGATAGTCAACGGTAGATTTTCACGGTTTGTCAGTGGAATTAGTTGGCTTTCAACTGGAGTTTCCAAGCAGTGAAGTCTTTCTCCAATTTGAGGTGAAGCCGAGTGTAGCCAGTGATATGGCCAGTCAAAGCCGAAGTCTCTAGGATTATGGGATCATCCCCGATCGGGTTCATACCCAGAGGGGAATCCATGGGAATCCTATGAAAGTGAAGGTGGGATGACGGTACCCCATATTGATCCAATGTAACTTTACGGCCAAACACCTCGATTTGCCCGCGCTTGTCGGCGGCCATCTTCGTTTGTGCTGAAAACGTGGTAAAAATGGGAGTTTTTTGCATGATGGCTAACTTCATGTTCTATATCGGCACGCACAGCATAGGGACCTGTGCGAGTCTCTTACACATCATCATCATCATCATCATCATTATCATCATCATCATCATCAAACCCTTATTGAAGATCTTCAATGAATGTAGAATTTTAATGGGGGTGGGAGAATTAAACCCTTATTGAAGATCTTCAATGAATGTAGAAGTTTAACGGGGGTGGGAGAATTAAACCCTTATTGAAGATCTTCAATGAACGTAGAAGTTTAACGGAGGTGGGAGAATTAAACCCTTATTGAAGATCTTCAATGAATGTAGAAGTTTAACGGGGGTGGGAGAATTAAACCCTCATTGAAGATCTTCAATGAATGTAGAAGTTTAACGGGGGTGGGAAATTTATATTCCCTAAATACCCTTGTCGATCTTCCCAATTGAATGTAAAGTCTAACGTTTGACATCCCCAAGTGTACAGCATAGAAGGGGTGTGGGCGAATCGGGGTGTTTGCGCGTAACTTTACCATGTACATTAATATTGATGTTTTTCCAAGATCTGTGAGTTGGATGTGGTTCTCTCATGTTCTCTGGAAGCGACAGGACCTGCCATGCCTCATCGCAGACACCATGCCATTGGGGCAAGGCAAGTCAAGATGTGACCACTTTCCGGAGTTTTCATAGAGCTCATATACTGATTTTCCAGATGTTTTTTCATACTCAAGACATGAACATCCATTTTGAAGTCTGCAAACCATATATTTAAATAAGTCCACTTAGACTTAAACTCAAGAGTGTTTACTATATGAAACAAGTCTACACAGCGGTTTTTGTAAAGAACATATACAGTTCTCGTGCAGCGAAATGAGGTTCCTACGGCACGCGTCAGTGGATCGCAGAGGTGTCGACGGGTCAATGGTTGCATCATCCAAGATATCCACACGGAAAGCATGGGTGAAATGGGTGAATGAACTTGGAAAATCCATTCAACAGAAATGAAACATCCCAATCAACTGAACAGAACCTCCATTAGAAATCATGAAAAATCCTTGAAAGAGATCGAACATCGAACAGGCAGAGAACATGTTGCAACACTGCTGTTGTGTGTTCCAGCTGTTTGTTGCTGTTCCAGCCTCTACTAGGCCTGCTCCACTGTCCATGTTATCAGGTGATGTTTGAAAAGATCAAAGTTAAGTCCCTTGCGATCTTCAACACGGCCGTTCGGTGCCCAAAGATTTCAAGGCATGGGCTGAGAGATACCCCAAGTGTGACCATTTCCCCGTTGTTCTAGATCATTGAAGAGCTGCTGCCTGTATACAATACAACCTACAATGTAGTTTATTATACAACAGTACAACATAGATCAATATAACACCCTCTATCATACCATATACTACCATATTGTAATATACACATATGTATATATATATAATGAATATCCATCATTCCTGATTCACTCAGCTACAAGTGTATAGTGATAAATCATTCCGTCTCCAAGTCCGGCTGAGGCCTTGAGCCTGTTCTCAACGGGCCGCCAGAAACTAAGGGTTGAAACACAGGTCGAAGAAAATTCGATCTGAAATTGGGCGAAAGTTGCATACATGGCTAGGAAATCAAACATTGCTAGGAAATCCACGAACTAAATTAAGGCTTTGAAAATATTCTGTAAATGGGTGATGTCCATTGCCATGTTTAATTACCGAAGGGTATGTTTGGAGATTTTGAGTGTACACACTTTGACAGGCGGAAAATAGAAAGAAGTACTTCTGGATGAGCATATCATTGCAGCATATCAGATAGATGTTGCCAATGTGAGCTTCCATCAGGGTTGTTCCAATATTGTCGAAAATAACATGATATATAGAAAGTTTGCTAATTTGCCACATTGTAGCAACCCCCAAAAAGATGCTAAAAGGTGTTCCAGCATGCAGTTCAACAATATATGTATTTCATATTTCATGTATAGTTCATATATTTCCAGCTTTACCACTTTTCGACATTTTTGGGGGGTTACTAATATTTGACCTGGTTTTTCACATGGCCTCGTGACCATGGCACGCCTTGTCATAGCTTTGCCCAAATCTCAGGCACCCGTGGATTGGTGGTGGAGAGTGGTGAGGGCATCACTCAGGTGGGGCGAACTTCAAGGGGCACTTTCTGTGAGTTTTTTTTTGGTAATTGGCTTTAGCTATCTTTAGCTGGTCTTGGAAATTGACATTCACATTTTTCTTGAGAGACTGATGTGGTCGTTGCTTTCCTACAGTTGTGCGATGTGATCAACAAAAACATGTGACAAAGCATTTTGGTTTGAAGAGCCCAATTTGAAGAGCCCAATCGGGCAGATTTGGGCAGTTTTACATGCAACAATTCGCCCAAAACACGCTTGCTCAGGCGGTCCCAGTCTTTGAAGGGTATGCCATACCCCATGCGATCTTTAAGATGAAGGCGTGCTGCGGCGTGGAAAATCATGACCCAAGTGGGTGAACATGCCCGTTTTTACATGTTTGTTGTCAACTCTATTGGACCAGAGTGAATTATGTCGGACTCAAAACGATCACCATGAAGAAGTGGGTTTGTATGAAAATAGGGTACCCCTGGCCCACAAGTTTGATGAACCATGCATGTCTCATTGAATGGCCATTTGGGAGGTCCCCATTTTCAGACTCACCCAAGTACTGTATCGAGGTGATTGTTTTTAATCAACTTTGCTTTGGCCGTAAGACCACTAAATTCGAATTCACAGTTTGGCAGGTAGCTCATTTATGTTGTACCCACTTATCACAAAGTCATGTTCGACGATCTCTGCAAACAGAGAAGCTGCGAGGTTGCTGGACAAGACATTACCCAACGAATTAAGACCTTGATGGTCCGGGCCCCCTGAGTTTCACCGAGGGTTTTCCAATGCATTCGGGGGTTGGGATTGATGTCCCAAGTCACAGTTTGGTATGTTTTGATTATATTGCAAGTTTCTTCCACACCTCTCAATTTTTATGTGGTTTTGCGTGGGTCGTTCCAGTTATTTTAATGACATTTGTTTTGTTGGTCATGTCATCTCTGTTGTGGTCCTTTCAATCTTCATTATATATACTCTTATGTTGGGTTGGTTGAGTAGCTTGCAAATCCATTTTTCAGTGTTTCAGCCCTCCATGTTTCCCCATTTCTCATCCAATGATTCGTACTTCATAGTCTACCTCCAATAAGCGGCCGCATTCTTGACCCACAATGGTACTTTTAATTTACGTGGAAAATTGCACATGTGTAGGTGATTTACCTATGGTTTACCTATGGTTTACTGTATGATTTACCCAGGAGTTCGCCATGATTTCCATGGCTTTCCATGGCTCCATGGCTGTTTTTTTGAGGCCGAAGAGCTTGGCGAAGCTCAGAGCTACCGCACCATGGAAGCGATGAAAGAGAAGGCGGCCAATGCCAATGCCATGGGGAAAATGTGGGTATAACCGGTGTAATCACCATTAATCATCATTGTCATAGTGGGTATAATAACCATTTAATGGCGGGTATAATAGTGGGTACAATAAGCATTTACTTGGGGGGTATACAGATGACCATGACCTTTTCTCAATTGAATGGGCTATTTTTCAGGAGTTTCAAGAGATGCGCAAATTAAACATGACCATTGAATTCCAAGAAAGTATGTTGGTTTAATGTTACTGTCGGGGATGGGATAAATGAGAGTTTCATGGGTCTTAGTGATGGCTATACCATGTTGTTACACCATACATGTGAGGAAGATCCATAGATCCGAACTATATCGAAGTATTGGGAAATTATTGGGAATGGCTACATGTAACCCGGGAAACCCCTGGATTTTACACCAAATGAGCTGTTGTTGATGGATGTTCGTCCCCGCAAGTATGATAGGTGCTGATTCATGCCCTGATAAAGCGAGAAGTTTTTTATGTTACAGGAAAATGTTGGTGAAATATCACGATCTTTGTTGAAAAGGAAAGGGATCGCTGCTCCATTCCAAGAGGGAAAAAATATGAAAAAATGAACCAACTTCCAGAGGAAAACTTGGAGACCAACCTAGAGAGGTTCTGTTGAAAACTGGAAACTTCTCAACTTCCAGAGATGTGTCTGGATCATTAGGATCCCATATAAATCCCATTTGTATCCCATTAACCATCTATTAAATCCCATATAGATCCCATTCATCATCCATGAAATCACCGCTAACTGGTCCTGGTCCCCCCCATGAAGGTTGCGGAAAACGTCCCTGGCTTCTAGGTGTGTTTCGTGGCGCCTTCCGGACACAACGGGATGCCAGCTGCAGCGTTTCTGGGCGGGGCATGAGTGGAACAGTTTTGAAGTGTTGAACTACTGTTGAACCATCCAGTTTTCATGAGATTAACTATGATTAATTGATGTTAATGTGTTTGGGTGTAGGACTTTTGAGTCCGGCATCAAAGGTGTTGTGGGTGCTTGGTGCGTGGTTTATGTGTAATGTTCCATTCCAGGCCTGGATTGATGGTGGAAACTCAATAGGAGGATCCAGTGATACCCAGTTGGGATGCCCTTTGTCACTGGTGCCCCACCTTGAGGTCAGATAGCGGAGATGAAGAAGCAAGATCCTTCGAGCTGCCAGATGGGAAGATCATCCAGGTGCACACCAAGTTCTACAACCGATCTCTTGCATCGTTTGAGAAGTCAAGATCCAAGGTTTTGGCACAAAGAGGTGTCGAACAATCTGAGGTGTTCTTTTTTATACGGGTTTCAAAACATATCTCCGTCACTTTCCTTCATGTTCCAAATCACAGCCACAGCTGGACATGTTCCAGGTGAGCGAAAAGATCCGCAGCAGTGCCACCGAGATTTTGTTCGGTGGAGTGGAGGGAGAGCGGGGAACCTCGGAGGTGACCATCGATAGACTCGGGGATGCAATGGAAGGAGTAAAAATTGGAGGGAGTAGTACAAGTAGTACATGGATAATTGGGATATCCCATAGTTAACTATGAAAAATAGGGATTCAACGAGATAGTGGGAGATAAACTTGAGGGTGCAGTTCCACTAGTAACTCGTAAGTTTTTTTTTAATAAGATTAACCATAGTTGTAGGGGCCCCATATCCCAACTTATGGAGGTTATTACCATAGTTATCCATTAATAACCCGAAGCCCCCAACTAATACATAACTGGACATGATCGAAGTGAACATATGTGGGGAGTGTTTGGCCACAAAGTTGGGGTTGTAGTAGCTAGAACAGTAGCCTGTTTTTCCCTATGATATATGGCATCACATATCATATCAAAATAAGGATGCTGCAAAGATGCATGTTTTTCAATAGCGTGATGATATGGAGGTGTCCTAAAATGGGGATACCCCCAATCATCCATTTTAATAGGATGTTCCACTATAAACCATCCATCTTTTAAGAACCACCATTTTAGGAAAGCCCCAAATGTGTTGAGGTTTTGTATGTTTCACTGCCGGGCAGGGCTTCGATGCAAAAGATCTGCCTGGATGCTGTCAACACCGTTGACCTGGATTTTCGACAGGACCGCGGACCCCGGCCGCGTGGATTGATTTGCGGTGGTTGAAAACGTGAGTTGAAAAAAATGGTGATGCAAACTCACGTTCGGGAGCTCATTTTTATTCATTTTTAGCTGGGATCACCATGGATCACCTAAAAAAGAAATGGCTTGGTAACGGGATTCCCAAGTTAATTGGATTGTGATCATCCTTGATATAGTTCCATATAGGTTAGGTGATGTTAGGTGTTCATCTCCCGACCCAACTCATCAACCGGGGTCGCAACGGAAGATCTTGGAAGGACCTCGTGAAGAGCGTGGTGGTTGCAGGCATCGAGCCTAGTTGAAGCCGTGGATATCTTGGGTCATGAAGGGCCGTATTTCCGGTAACTCATTTAGCAATCAACAAAAGGCCATATGATCTAATCTGTCAGAAGAATTGAACTGTTATTGTTCACAACTATTAAATTATTAATATAAACATGGACATATATAAACAAGGATAAACAACTGTTGGATTTTTGTGGACAAAGCCATTTGATGTAGAGACGGTAGCCAACATGTGTTCCATGATAGGCCGATAGGGATGATGATCCCAAAAAACTCACACATCTGTTTTTGAAGCCACTACCCAGCAACGAGGTTTGTATGAAATTCTTAAAATCTAAGCTAACCTGACTTGCAATTGAAATCCCGAATTTCACAGATGTGATTTTCCACATGTGCCCATTAAGACCCATAGGTTTTCCCATGAGTTTTCCAAATTTTCCGTCACTGAGGTGGCACTTCCATGCTGCCTAACCTGGCTCCAAGACTAAGGCACAACTGGATGATTGGAGCTGGTGTTTGATGGCACTTGGAGTGACGAATTACCTTCTTGTTATGGTACTTTATGTAATCCCGCAAGTGAAAGATGACTTTCCTATGGTCATTTTTGGAAGTCACAGATATGAGATTTCAGAGGTGTGGTTTTAAATCGAATGGCCTGGCACTTTGAAATCGGAGGCTGCATCTACATGTGATGCTTCAACCTCATTTTCCCCATTTTCCTTTGATACCATGAGCTCATCGATGTCCCTTTAAAAAATCAGGCCCCTGGAATGGCATATATAGTTTGCCTCAAACCCCGTGGAATATTTGGAAGACGATGGTTTTCCCTACTTAGCTATGTTGGTTTATAACTAGGTCAACTATGGTTTATGGTAGTCAGGATATATCGCATTATTTAAATCTATTTAATGGGGTTGATATGGTTTTCTGAAACTTTCGGGTCCCCGGATTTTTTTTTGGGTCATAGTTTCTGCACTTTTTTGTATTCCATGGGTTTCCAACGCATTTTGGGGATCTACCGATCTACCCCATTTGTGGAGCCAGGACGGAGCTCAAGTCGGCGCTGGCCAGCGATTTGTCGCGCACTGCTGGGGCCCAGAGACCTCGGGACGGAGATGTTGAAGATCTGGGGGATTCCGAAGATGATTGTTACATATTGTTACAATGGTTTCCTATGGGGATCCCCAAAGACACCATAGGTAATACGAACCTAGTATAATCTAATAAAATCTAATATGATCTGATGGAATGATGGTAAGTAGGCTAACTGACGCAACATAGCGTGACTCTTCAGATGAGTGAATCATGATAATTGATGACGAAAATATGCATGACATTTCAAGGTTCTACCAGCAGATAGGTTGGAATCAGAAAGACTGGAAGATCAGAAAACTCACATTGTTTGCAGAATGAGAATAGAATCCTACCACGGGTTTGCTAGACGCCTTTTTGGTATCTACATTTTGGATAGTTTGTGAACTCTGAACCAAGATGAAACCTGCTCTCCACCCCAAAGTCCGGCCCATTTCCAGTCTTGACATTCACTGGCCTTCACTTACATCCATGTTCCACAATTCATTCCGGCTGCTTTCAAAGAAGAGAAAGCTGAGACAAAAAAGCATAATCATCTTCAAAAAAGCATGAACAGCAACTCCAACTTTTCAACAAAAAGATCCAAAAACCATGAGCTATCCATAGTTCTTCCCAAGTCTATCTTCCCATCATCATCCATATATCTAGTTCTCCCCAAGTCCATCCATACCTTCCCCTGTTGTTCCAAACGCTTCCCCTTTACGTCACCTCCCGGCAGCCCCCGCGGCCATTGGAGGTGGAGGTGGTGAGCGATTCCCAGCGCCGCTTCGCGGCGTGGATCGGCGGCTCGATGTTTGCCTCGCTGTCGACCTTTGATCAGGTGGCCATCACCAAGCAGGTGAGGGGATGGGGTTGGGATGGGGGTGCTGATGGGGTTGGGATGGGGATGCTGGGGATGCTGGAGATGCGAAAGATCTGTGGGATATTTATATATATATATGATGTTTGAAATATGTTGTACATGTTGTTTAAATAGCAGCAACAACTTCGAATTGGAAGTGGATACTGCTGTCCACCGAGGTGCTTCAACGAGGTGTTTTCGGAATGGAATGGGGATGGATGACCATGGAAGGATGTCATATCACTGTCCACCTCTATATCCTATTGTAATTCATAACCCAATGATAGCCGTATCACAACTTGTGATGGTTGGATATAACTTATATCACCAATTGGGATGTAACTTATATCACCAACAAAACACTCCCTGTCTATTCCAATGATACCCCAATGATGTCCCATTTTTTCACATTTTTTCACTATATCCCAGTATATCTTCAGTATATCCCAATGATATGCCATTCTATCCCGCTATATCCCAGTATATCCCAGTATATTCCAATGATACCCCCAATGAGATCCCAACTTTCCATGTTTTTTTCCTCAGAATTGGGCGACCAGGAATATGAAGACGGCAAGGCGGACGTCCGAGGCCTTGTTGCTCGGAAGACCTTCTGAGGCCGGGACCGGTGGGTGGATGGAAAAAGTGCTCGCCTTCCTCTATGGGAAGAATGGGTAAACTGGGTTTAACTATGGTAATCATCTATAAATCATGGGTATAAGTGCAGTAATCGTAGGTATAACTATGGTATAACTAATTATAGCATCATCTATCATCATCTAGAAATAACAGGTATAACGTGGTATAACTATGGGAATCATGGGCATAACTGTGGCATTGTAGCATCATCTTTAAATAGTGGCAGTTAATAACCTCCACAAGTTGGGATATGGGCGCCTACAGCCATGCTTTTTATAATCCACTTAATAGTGGAACTGCAGCCCCAGGCATGGGAAAATTGTCTACAAAGGGTGGGGGTTCCATATCTATGTTAAGTAGGTGGAGGTTTTTACATCTGGTTTACTTCCAAGATCTGAGTATCTTAAGCCAATTTAAGTCATGCTCAGGGAAAAACAATTGCAAGCACTGATGATGATCCAAATATATCCGAACTCAGACCTTGGGATGCTGGAGGCCGTATGTGACCTATTTTCAGCACAGCCTGATTGGTGACGGTAAGACGCAAGTCGAATCTGTGTTGGTGATGTTGCTGGTGATATGCGAAGCTCATACAGTTTTTCCTTCTGCTAAAGCCATCATTCATGCTGAATCCATTCGGTCACCAATCTTTGTAGAACTGTCCAAGATACAAACCTTTATGATTTTTCATGCTTCGTTGTGTATATCCCATGCTTGTTGCGTTGCATGTTTGTTTTAGGGATGTGCCACCCCTTCTCATTGCTTCATTCTACATCGGGATTCAGCCAATCCACCAAAGCTGACCCCCTCAATAATTGATGCTTAACCAGCCTTGTTTAGTGGTTGTTGGTTGAATCCCCAACATAAGCCATGCCCCCTTTCACAAAAAAGTTGTTCCCTCAGTGGCGCTGCATGACAGTTCCAATCAAAATCCAGGTGACGACCTGTTTCACGAACGCCTCATTCGTTGGAAACCCAGGGTGGATACCCTCCGGTAATCAAACGTGGAAATGGACAATCCCCCCTTTACATATGATGGATGATTTTCCTATATTCATGATAGTGGATGTCCAATAAACTACAGATTATGGTGGATTTACGAATAAACTGACTAAAGATTATTTACCCAGCTAGAAACCTCCATTTATAGTGGATTTCCGACTATAGAATGTTTGATCATCAGAGGGTACATGAAATTCTTTGGAAAGGTGACGAAAGCCGGTATGTGTTTTGAATTGTTTTGAATCTGTTGTGAGTGGCTTTGGAAGAGCATGGGTCATGTTCAGCAGATGCTTGTCCATCCCACATGCTCCATGTATGGAATGTTTATAAACATTTACCAAAAAAAAACACGCACATATAGGTGAATAAACCATACATGGAGAACATGGAGCATCACCCACCCTCCCAATGCCTAGGTCAAATTCGCGAAGGAGTGCGCCGTCCGCGGACTGACCGTGGTCTCACCAGGAAAAAGTCCGCTGCTGTGGATGTTTGGCTTGCTTCCTCCAACCCAGAATAGGTATGTATAATATGTATATACATATATTATACATATATACCGTTTGGTTATTTGCGGGTTTCCATAAATGCGGATACCTCAAAATGGACGGTTTACCATGGAAATTCCTACTAAAGTGGATGATTTGGGGGATCCCCATTTATGGATGCCCCCTTTTAACGGAGCTATGGATGAAAACAGTATCTCAAAAAGGTTTTAAGTATTATCTACAAATGGGTTTCATAAGCACCAGAGAGTAAATGATATTCATGTACCAACAAGGCGGGAAAATGTGTCATTCATGGTCATTCTACCTCTTTCTCTAGCCACTTACTTCCTCGAGTACATGGGGTGTTGGGACCAACCTTCTCTGGAAGGAGGGTTGGGGGCACCATCCAGTCGGGGAGTGAAACTAAACATCTCAATTTGATTTTCAGAGATTGTCACAAGGACTGTAAGGTTTTGACACACAAGCACTACGGTGTGCCTTGAAACCGCGGTTCTCTCGGTGCTCGCAGGTGTCGGGCATGTTTTCCAATCGTCCATATTTGCCCATCCATTTCCAAGTGTTCTGGTGGTACTTCATACCAGCTCGACCTGCTTTCAGGATCTTTAAGGATGTGATTTTGGCACTGGAAGTGTTTTTTGCTCACACAAGAAGCGGCTTCACATGGCAGAGATGCCAATCACAACCGTGCCACATGCCCATCACTTATTTGAAAACCAGCGTGCCAGGTTGTTTTGGATAAGAGTCCAAGTGGAAATCCGAATAACATACATCTATGGTCATCCATATTATATATATATATATACATATATATACATATATATACATATATACATATATACATATATACGTATATTCATATAATATATTATTATATAGATATATATATACATATATATAGATATACATTGGTATATACATATCTGTTGTGAATATCATATATTTACACGATACAAGAAGCCGGAGAAAAACCCTTGAGCTTCCAGACAGCCCATGGCATCCCAATTCAAGCCCGAAAGCTGATCATCGAAAGCCATGCCTCGCGTTGATGTCGAGAATCTTTCGCTGGGGCCCCGATAGCCACTGGGAGCCCCGGTCGCTTTGGAGAAGACAAATTCCATGTTTTCTTGGTGTTCTTCCCATGCCTATTCCACTTGCACACAGAGTTTGAAACCCCAAGTAAAGGCAGCTTGAATCCAATGTCGACTTACCATTTCAGCAGTAGTCGGTCAGTTGAATCCACTCATTATATGTACGATTCAACCATGAACCAGATGACGATGCTTGTGTTTGATAATTGTCTCCGGATTCTTGCTGTTTTATGCTGTTTTAATCACGGTGCTTGATGCTTAAATCCGCAAGCTGGCTCTTTTTTCTTAGGTGAGCAACCGTTTTACACATCCAAGTATTTGCTTAAATGCCCACTTCATTCCATTGATGCTTAAAACCTGGAATTTGTTGGTTAAGTTTTTTGGTTTTAATCCACACAGCCCATCTTTGGTGAACTCCGCCTTGAAAATCTTTGCGTGTTTTGAGGCTTCGGCAGATCAGTGATGAGCTGCTGCCCAGGCAAGTTGTGCAGGGTGGTTGCTGATATGTGAAGCAGTCTACATTGGCTCCTTTTTTTTGAAGATGTTGATGTTCCGATAGCAGTTGTCTTACATCTTCGGAGACAACCTGTCATATCCTATGATACATATACAAGTATATACAGATGTAGAGAGAGGTATATACGACATACATCAGTGGTTGCTGAGAATTTATGGTGTCACGTCCACGGCTATCTCCCCATGGCTGTTGCCTGCCTCGATTTGGACCAGGGATGCAGCGCAAATTCAAGCGGTGTTGGGCGTCCTGGGGGGAGTGGAGGGTGCATCCTCGGACACAAATTGGGAGTGGCTCCGCAAAAGAGGGTGGTTTGAAAACCGGGCAAGATATGCAACTAGATGATACTAGATGGTGAATAGATGGTGAAGAGTTTGGGTTTTTACTTGATGACATTGAATGACCTTATCAGCTTATCAGAATCTGCAGCTGTTTTTTGATTAACTTCCTGGGGTGGGATAAAGGTCCCGATGGTCCCATAGCTATTGGCACTGGGACCCAGATGGGAAAACAGTTAGTGAACATAAAGAGAAACCATGGGAGATGTTTTGTCCCAGATTTCTGTAGTGAAAGTCAACGCCTTCTTATCCTTATTTGCTTCAACATCATTGAGATTTGTAGAGTGACGCACGCTAGCAGATGTCGTCGGATATCAATGAGGTTAAATCATGTTATATCCAGTTGTAGCCATACTATGGAGCAGATAGCTCAGTAGTTCAAAGGGCGTGTTGCCCAATCGAAACCTAGGGCTCCAGCACTGCAATTGGGGTCATGTGTTTTACATATATATATATATATTTATTTATAATTATTTTTATAGTTATATTATTATTATTATATATATATGTTTCATGTTCCATGATTTTCCAGTGATAGACTGGGATGATATCAAAATTAGTTCATTCTACAGCCAAGTTGGGATGAAGCCACTCGGTAGATTTTCCACCTCCATCCCTTTGGATGAATCCACTCCGTAACATGGATCCCCCAAACAGTTGGTCTGAAAGATGGTTTTCCTATTGGATTTGATATCGATGATTTAGCCGATTTAGCTACGATTTGAAAATTGTAGGATTTTCCAGTTAGCACACTGTTATCGCACACGGCTTGCTGTTCGTTCCTCTAGCCGGCTCGTCGCAGGCTAGATGGTCCTATTGACATGAAACCTAAAAAGAAAAGGGTCGAGAGCACTGGTAAATGACCAGAGGATATCCCAAGTATTTTCGTTTCCCAATCGCCCTGACCGATACACAGCAGCAGGGCGGCCGAAGCCTTGTCCAGAGGTCAGCGAGCCTTACATGTCACGGAGGACGGTGGGCCCAGCCAGTCGGGGATGGATTTCACCAAGATGGGGAAACAAAGGGGGAAACATGCGATGAAATAGGGGATTCCTATGGATTCATCCACTTTTGATACATGTGAAAATGTAAGGATTTGAGCATTTTAGGAATAAAGAATCAAGATGAATCACACTGGGATTTCAGCATGAATGTGGTTTCCTCCTCTTGTTTGCGAATTCTTCGGGGAATTCTTGTGGGAATTCTTGGGGGTACGCTGGTACTGATTGTATCCAATTTCTTTGCTTTCAAAGATCCCAAATCTTCTCCAAATCAAAGGCTAAATCGCCCATTGAAGCTATGTATCTCACCTTTGTTTCTCTGGTCTCCACGGCAGGACTTTGCTCGGGAGCACTATAAAGATGAAGCCGCCCTTTCGCAGCTCTATGAGGTGAAAGCCATGTAGCAAGATACGAAAAGTTGGACAGCTGGACAATGTATTATGTAATACCAGTAGTACCGCACAAGGCGGCGGCGGAAGTTTCAAAAATAGGAAACCTATAGGAGAGGTTGGTTGTTGTGAATCAGGGATGGCAGAGCGAAGCCACTGATGGACTGAAAGGTGCTTGAGGTCTCCTGTCTTTCTCTCTCTTTCTCTCTTTTTCTCTCTGTTTCTCTATCTTTCTCTGATTATCTACCTACCTACCTACTGATCTATCTGTCTACCTATCTATCTGTCTGTCTGTCTGTCTATCTATCTCCCTATCTATCGATCGATCGATCGATCTATCTATCTATCTATCTATCTTTTTATTTAGCTGTCTCTCTATCTATTTGTCTGTCTGTCTGTCTATCTATCTATCTATCTCTCTCTCTCTCTCTATCTCTCTCTCTCTCTCTCTTTCATCTGTCTATCTGTCTATCTGTCTAGCTGTCTAGCTGTCTATCTGTCTATCTATCTGTCTATCTGTCTACCTGTCTATCTGTGGTGCAGTGTCATTCAGTGTAATGTAGTGTAGTGTAATGTAGTGTAGCATAGTGGAGTGTAGTGGAGTGTAGTGTAATGTAGTGTAATGTAGTGGAGTGTAGTTGTGTAGTTGTAGTTGTAGTGTTGCGGAGTGTAGTGTAGTGTAATGTAGTGAAGTGTAGTGGAAGGTAGTGTAGTGTAATGTAGTGTAGTGGAGTGTAGTGTAATGTAGTGTAGTGTAGTCTAGTGGAGTGTAGTGTAGTGTAATGTAGTGTAGTGTAGTGTAATTTAGTGTAGTGTAGTGTAGTGTAGTGGAGTGTAGTTGTGTAGTTGTAGTTGTAGTGTTGTGGAGTGTAGTGTAGTGTAATGTAGTGAAGTGTAGTGGAAGGTAGTGTCGTGTAGTGTAATGTAGTGCATTGTAGTGGAGTGTAGTGTAGTGTAATGTGGTGTAGTGTAGTGGAAGGTAGTGTCGTGTAGTGTAATGTAGTGTAGTGGAGTGTAGTGTAGTGTAGTGTAATTTAGTGTAGTGTAGTGTAATTTAGTGTAGTGGAGTGTAATTTAGTGTAGTGGAGTGTAGTGGAGTGTAGTGGAGTGTAGTTGTGTAGTTGTAGTTGTAGTTGTAGTGTTGTGGAGTGTAGTGTAGTGTAATGTAGTGTAGTGTAGTGTATTTTAGTGTAGTGTAGTGTAGTGGAGTGGAGTGGAGTGGAGTGTAGTTGTGTAGTTGTAGTTGTAGTGTTGTGGAGTGTAGTGTAGTGTAATGTAGTGAAGTGTAGTGGAAGGTAGTGTCGTGTAGTGTAATGTAGTGCATTGTAGTGGAGTGTAGTGTAGTGTAATGTAGTGTAGTGTAGTGGAAGGTAGTGTCGTGTAGTGTAGTGTAATGTAGTGTAGTGGAGTGTAGTGTAGTGTAGTGTAATTTAGTGTAGTGGAGTGTAATTTAGTAAAGTTGAGTGTAGTGGAGTGTAGTGGAGTGTAGTTGTGTAGTTGTAGTTGTAGTGTAGTCTAGTGGAGTGTAGTGTAGTGTAATGTAGTGTAGTGTAGTGTAGTGTAATTTAGTGTAGTGTAGTGTAGTGTAGTGGAGTGTAGTTGTGTAGTTGTAGTTGTAGTGTTGTGGAGTGTAGTGTTGTGCAATGTAGTGAAGTGTAGTGGAAGGAGTGTCGTGTAGTGTAATGTAGTGTAGTGGAGTGTAGTGTAGTGTAGTGTAATGTAGCGTATTGGAGTGTAATGTGGTGTAGTGGTGGTTGTAGTTGAAAATGCCACAAAACCCTCACGTTTTGCTCACTTTTGACAAGGTGCGCAATCCCTTGCGCCTGCCACGCGAAGCAACATCTGAACCTCCAAAAGTGGTCCGAACCCCTGGTGTTTTTAACATTTTGAGTTCGAAATGTGCTTCGCGCCACAACGGCGTGCACTTTTTCGACATCTGAACCTCCAAAAGTGGTCCGAACCCCTGGTGCTTTTAACATTTTGACTTCGAAAGGTGCTTTGCGCCACAACGGCGTGCACTTTTTCGACATCTCAACTTCCAAAAGTGGTCCGACAATGGTGTGTTTTGTACATTTTGACTTGGAAATGCCTACCTTTTTGCGCATCTGCATCTTCTTTCCTCTGACTCTTTCTCTTCTACTCTTCTCTCTTCTAATCTTTCTCTTCTCTCTGCCTCTGCCCTACTCTGCTTTTCATCTGTCGATATTGTCGGAAGTTTGACTTCTAAACTTCCTTCGATTATATATTTTTTAAGGTAAATATCTCGAACTACCATCCTGGAAACATGTTTTGGCGTCTTTTTTGGGTTGCTATAGTTATCATGTAATTTAACCGTTTGCAAACTGGGAAATCACCATTTTTGGAGATGCCCGATGGGCAAAATCATCGAAGTAAATGGACCATCTACGCCATAGCTGTGCTGAATTGAATTTCCAGAGGGTAGTTAGTTATCATTTTAGTCATCCCCACATAGAAATTTAGTTTTTCTTGGTGGACGGCTATCCGGATAATTACAGCATCGTTCATAATCATTCTGTTCACGGTGTTTCTTTGACGTTGATCATCGCTGAAATATGAAGGATGGTGATCGGTGAATGATGTCATCGGTACCATGCTGTACCGGAATTTATGAACCACAACTCTCCCAAATCCAGTGAGGAGAATGTTCACAACGTATTTATCCCAAATCAGTGGGACCTGCAGGTAGTGACATGGACAGGGAGAGGGCTGCTGACACAATATTAAAAGTGATCTTTTCCTGTGTGATTGAACCCAGCAATGAACAAGCCCTGCATACTGGGTAGTAGTCACAGCAATAGAACAAGTTGAGTAGCCCTGGGTGACATGAAGCATAGTTCAATGGACAATCCATGAACGATCCACAGCATTTTGGGAAGACCATCTTCATAGGGAATGTCCCATCAGTCATGATCCAGGTGGTCGACCGCCTACGGATTGCTGCCAAGGAGCTGGTGGTTTATGTGACACCTGGATTTCTGGATGTGTTTATTCAAAAAGGACCAGAAATTGCCTAAAAAATGCCGAAACAGCACCGAACAGATATGACTATGTCATGAATATATCATGGGCATGGGTATGTCTTGGGTATTGTGGTACGTTATCCATCCCGATATCCCGATGTTCTCCACATTGTGCGGCCAGGATGTGCAAAACTACATCGACAGGTCGCTGCTCCTGACACATGGCTTTGTGCCAATCATCGAGGTGTTGCTACCATGTTTGGCAGCAAGGGTTGAGGGAAAATGTGAAAACAAAGTGTTCACCCCAGTTGGACCAATCTTCTTGCAACACGTGACTCATGTCACTGATTGTCTTCTGTTCATGGCGGATGTTGTTTTTTCGCCATGGGGCCCAAACCCATTTGTCGGACTCATGGGACCATAGCTGGCCATAGCCCAGCTGAAAACACCCCAACCTTCGGCATCCTTCGGCCACATCTGTCAGAGCACCTATCCTTGCCATGGTGGCAACAAAGCTGTTTCGCACCAGCCTCAGGGAGGAAAGGCTGGGGGATATACCCCGCTATAAGTTGAGGGTTGTGTGGGTCAAGCACGACAAATGCCAAGATGTTCTTTAAAAGACCATGTCATTGGTGGTTTCTTGGGGTAATGCGGTTGAAGATTGGTTGACATTTTCAGAAATCAGACAGATCTCCGGCTTGCGGATCCTGAGGTTGGCGCACAGCCTTCACTTAGGGCTGGGCCGTGTCAAGGCGATACCTTTGACAAACCTGGAAAGCCTCATGGGTTGATGGGTCACGTTTAGTTGGATGATGTTGGATTTAGTGAGTGATTGCCTGGGCCGTTGCAAACTTGGTAACCTCTGGCTTTGATGACTCATATTTTTTGTTCGCTGTCCAATTATGATGCTTGTGCTGGTCTTGGCAAGCACGCTTGATAGTATGATTGATGGAAAACGACGATTGGTCGAATTGAACATGTCCGCGAACATGTTTTTCAAATTTGTTCAGTTTCTTCGGGTATTTGATGATATTTGGTTCCTTCTTTGAAGCTCTCCAAGATGGACGTTGATGGTGGAAAGATGACCGACGCCCCTACAGGAAGCAGTGGGTGGTGGCGGTGCAGTTGGAGCAGGCCCAAGCCTCAAAATCTGAAAAAACTAAAGCAGACATTTCATACTTCATACATCTTCATAAAACCGTACCTCGTGAAAGATGGATCATTGTCTTTTCAAAAACCAGGGGACCACCAGTCCATCTCTGGTCCTTTTAACTGGTACCATTTTGTGAGTATTAAATGGCTAAAGAATCCATTAAAGTTTGTTCTCCCAAAACCTTGACCCATACCCTGATAGATTATATATATAATCTATCCGATGAATTGAGATCGATACTATAAATTAGGATATTCAGTGATGGTAAATACTCTATTCATATATATATATATATCATTACCCTCTGGTAGCTCAATGGTTTGCTATGAAAAATGACAATTGTTTAATAGGTAAACCATCATAAAAGCATTTATAAATTGGCCATGGCTTCCATAGCTATGTTAAATACCTAGAGGGTTCTAGAGGGTTAATACTACAATACTTGTGGTACCTTGTGATGACTTAGATGGGTGTCCTGAGGTCATGCCGTGCCAACCGCTGGGGTCTGGAACCTTGGTCCACTGCATCCATTTTCCAACTTAGGACTGACATTTTCTTGGAGCCCATCTTTTCCTGGGAAAAAGCAAGCGGTTTTTGGATCATCTTATGGATCTGAGCATGGCGACTTAAGACCCAAAAGTGTCGTAGATATTGGTCATCTGACCTGGGCCAACATTTGTTTGTATTATGTGTGTCACCCCCCATTTTTTTCAATGGACCTGTCCCAAAGTCGTCTTTAATTGTACAAGGACCAGCTTTTTTTTTGGTGGAAACCACCGAAAAAGCCAGCCATTTTCTGTCGATTTCCTTCCCACCCAGTGTTTCACTGCCAGCATTTCAGGCTGCCGACTTGCTGGCCGACACCGAACGAGCACTGGGGTGACTCTTCGCACCAATGAAGGGCCGGGCGTTCACCCGGAAAAAATGGGGCGTTAGAGTCTTGTCAACCAATAAACACTGGGTTTGTAATAAAATAGTCGTGTAGCAAATCCATGCAAATGCTGGGTCGATGTAATTGTGCTCAACTATTTGAGGAGTAATTTTAAAGAAATGAGATCCAACCAGCAACGAATGACTGTTTAATACCTTATGGTCCAGTAAACCAAGTAAGGGGCCTTCCAATGTCAAGGGGAAAGCTATCTACGAAGGGTGCATGGGGGGTATCCATTATGGAAAGACCTCTCAATCAGCCAGAAGATCTGACCTGCTGTGAGTTTTGGAAGCTGTTCTATTTCTCGCAAGGAAATGATGCCTGAAGACAAAATTGTCGGGTCATAGATCTAAATATATCCAGATACAACCAACCCTCAGAGCTCGGCTTTTTCATAACGGTTCATGAATCAATTTGCCGACCAAGTCGGAATCTGAATGATGATTCAAAAGCAGGACTTATGTTGCATCTCTTAGCAGAGGGCATCCCTACCAAAAATTCAGGCCCTCAAGTCCAAAGATGAGAAAACACACACAAATTGGCATGACAAGAGATGGAACTACACCTGTTACTGCCTGGCACAGTATTAGGATGTATTAGGGATATTGTCCTTATCACGATCCCAAAGGTTCCTTGTGCCTGTCTGGATAGAATAACAAGAGATCTCGTCTCATTCCCAGTCGCAGAAAATTGGGCCCCTGGGCCTAGGTCAGTCATTGGGCAAGCACCCGACGGCGGGAGCCTTGGAGCTTTGATGGTTGATCCGCTGGTGGAAAAAGACAGGATCAATGGCTCTGATGGAAATCCATTTCAGGAAGGTCAATATCCTGAGAATTTGTTGATTTTTAAAACATCCAAACATCTCCTTTGCCAAGCCCGAGGCTTACAGCCGATGCTGGAGGAGATCCCATCCCCATGGTCTCTGGGGTGTGTTGAGGCTATTGTGGGGGAAGAGACTATATTGTTTTTCATGTTCAACAAGATTTGGTATGATGATCCTGAATGACTATAGAATATATAGTTCACATGGGTTGAAACCATCAAGAAAAAGAAAGACATCTCTGATGGATTTCCAAAATGACTCCCCTTGGAATGTGCTTGGATCGTCTTAGATCTTCGATCCTTAAACTCCTGGGCCGCCTGGACATGTGGATCTTGGGGCCCAGGGTAAACTAGCGATGGAAAATCCTCAGTTCCGGTGAACATGATCTGCATTCATGGTGGCTTTTCCAGATCCCTTGGTCTGTGTTGGTTTGAGGAGCGTATCATTGACCAGTGATTTTTCAGGAGAAAGATTCACAGGAAGAAGAGAACGTAGTGATGGCGGCAATTCCTGCAATTCCTGAGCCAATGATCTACCCCTTGTGCTACTCCCAGTGCTGATACAGCTCCAGAGTTGATGCAAGAGTTCTTCTTAAAGATATTGAATCATATGGAGTCACATGCCTGCAGTAGATTCTGCGTCGCATATATATATATAATTGTATAAATCAGTGATACATATATATATATATAATGTGTGTGATGAACCCTTCTATTACATCAATCTGTTGGACACATTTCATGTCATCCATCCCGGCGTCACAGTGAGTCCATCTCAGAAATGACTGAGGTCCGCCAGCTGCAGGAGATGGCGATGTCAACGGCAAGGTGATGTCCTGAGAAAACTGCGAAGTCAGTTTCATAAGGTTTCAGAATAGAGACTACAGTACCTACATGGTGTTTTTTTGCGTTTCCGTTTTGCAAGATCCAACCAGCTAGCAAGTCAGCTACCAATCCAACCAACAGTTTCTGGATTCAGATTTCTCAGGTTTGTGCAGTTTGTGCATGATTTGCTGTGAAGGGCCAACGGCAAGGACTCAGGTCATATCAAAGTGTCATTAGTTAACAACGGTTGTTGTTATCGTTGCTGTTGCTGTTGTTGCTGTTGTTGCTGCCGTTGCTTTTGCTGATGATGATGATGATGATGATGCTACTGATGATGCTACTGATGATGCTACTGATGATGCTACTGATGATGCTACTGATGATGCTACTGATGATGCTACTGATGATGCTACTGATGATGCTACTGATGATGCTACTGATGATGCTACTGATGATGCTGCTGGTGATGCTGGTGATGCTGGAGATGCTGGCGATGCTGGTGGTGCTGCTGGTGCTGCTGGTGCTACTGATGATGCTACTGATGATGCTACTGATGATGCTACTGATGATGCTACTGATGATGCTACTGATGATGCTACTGATGATGCTGGTGATGCTGGCGATGCTGGCGATGCTGGTGGTGCTGCTGGTGCTGGTGGTGGTGATGGTAACGGTGACGGTGATGGTGATGGTGATGGTGATGATTGCTAGTATTCTTGCCATTATCGTTGTTATTGTTATGATTCTTTGGATGTTTTTCCTTTACTCCCAGCCGTCTGTACACAAACCAGGTCTCAGGTGCTTCTTGTGATGGGCGAGGGTCAAAGAAGCTCAGCCGGACGCGGACAAAGTGTCGCGGACAGGACAAGTGCTGTGCGCCGATGGGTTTTGTGGGTTCGGCAAATGGGAAACCTGGGGAGGATCCTGACAGTTGGGGTTTCCAAAAATATGACGGAAGGGATTGCTTGGCAAAGGGGAAATCATGTTGACAGTTTCCTAGTATGAGGCAATTGACACATAATCCGTGGCTGGAAAGCATGGAAGTTGTACTTGTCAGACGATTGTGTGGCTGCAACCTTGTCACGGCTCAGCAGAACCTATCATAGAATCGAGATGTCGCCTTGAATCTTACAGAAGTTGACCCGCCGCCCTGTCTTGGCATCCATCTTCTGATATACACAGAGCACGAGCAATTCCAGACAGAATCAGTCCAGAGTCCAGACGCAAGCCTTGTAAGTTTGCATTGGTTTGCAGCTTTACATGTTTATTTTGTTTCTTTTGTTTTGAAGCGTCCAACACATAACAGACTACCAGTGTCCCAGTTTTTTTCGTCCTGTCATCAGACGGCGGCGAATTAACACACTTGTCTCACACCCCTTGGGGTTAGAGCTGTAGCCATGATGAACATGTGGCTGGACTTATCTCCCACATGTTGTACGTGGATTTCCATTCATTTCACTCCAGTTTGTACTTGATATATAGTTGTTCATACATGTTCATAGATGTTCACTATGAAAATCTTAATGCTGTGTATCCAATTGTATTTTCTCATGTATTGATTTCTTCATGGGTGGAAATTCAGGTGGCCACAGTATGGTGCAGGGCCCTCAGACGGGCAAAGAAATGGCGCGCTTTATTCAAAATCGTCCGGTTGTGTTTCCCTTGAGATGCCTTCTAGAAATTACACACCATGGAATTTCATCCAAATTTCGTCCGCTTTCCTTGGATATTTGGGACCTTCGCAGCCTTCGCCACTGGCGCCTGAGGGCATGCAGGGTGGGCCTGGGCAAATGCCGCCAATGAACATGCCTGGCATGCCTATGCCTGGGATGCCATTGCCCTTGTGAGGAACTTGGGAAATGCGAGCTTTTGGACAGTTGGGAGGAGAATTCGCCCCTTGTCATTATGACATGGTTGGGAAAAAGCATGAAAATGATGATGTTTCCAACGAAAAAAAGCTCCATTTAGATTAGATTTCCCATTGCAATGCTTCATCGCCAGAGGGTAGTTGAAGAGATCCCAGATCACAACTGTGGATGCGGGGGGGTTCGAGTCTAAGCTGTTTCATTTTGGAAGTACCCAAAGATTTGATCAAGCGTGTTTTTCACAGCAAATCATTAGGTTGCTGTCTTTCCTCAGCTTCCGGTCCCTCAAAATGACGAAGATGAGATTATGATTCGCAAGCGGCCGATATTTGTTCAGGAAAATCCATACTTGTATATATTATATATATATCCGTATATCCTACAGTGATTCATCCTCTGTCGAGTGATATATCCTCAAGCATCAATGAGAAAAGCAGGGTTTCACCTCTGCATCAAGGTCAGCTCCCATGAGGAGTGCTCCAGGCATTGGCTTTAAGCTGATCGGGAGGTGTTGGAGAAAATGAGGTATGACCGGGCTAAAATGGTTTCGATCCCCACGTAGTTTCTCATGTCATGATTTTTGCTCACCTCCGAGTTAGTCAATGAAATCTTCAACATCGTGTTTCATGTGTTTTGGGTGCGAGAACCGATAATGATTTCACAGTGGTATGATGACAACTTCATGTGCTTAAAACTACATTGTGGTTTAGCTCTTGTTGACATA